TTCCTCCTCGTCTCCCTCTTCCTTCTCCGCCCCCTCTTCTTCTTCCTCCTCCTCGACGAGGCATCCGCCCCGAACCAGGCGAGGGTGTACGAGTATCGGCAGCGCCTTGCGGCAGCCTGCCCAGGGGGGGCGGGGGGGGGGGCGGTGCTGGCCCATGGCGCCGACCAGGCCCTGGTGCTCCGCACCACGAGAACTCTCGTCGGCGCAGGCGGGATTCGGGGTGGAGGCGGGAGGAGGAGGAGGAGGGAGAGGAAGAAGGAGGAGCAGCGGATACAGCAGGCGCATCAAGTAAGAAGCCAGCCGCTGTCAGCAGGTGTCCCAGGGAACTTCCTTCTTATCCACGGATTGCCCTGGAGGCCGACAGGAGCACTGGGGGAACCTCAAGAAGCTCAAAGTTCGACGGCAGATGTGCCCCGAGGTTTCTTGAATTACGACTTGTTCTCGTATGTTTCTACCGTACTCGGAGAAGTGAAAGGCAGCTGCACCTCTGCTAGGCTGATCCCAGCGCCTCCCAGAAGCCTGACTCCGGCCCCACTCAGGTGGGGCCAGAGGAGATGAGGTCAGAGGATCGCGCCGCATCGCCGACGCATCGGCCATGCGTTGCGGTTTGGAGGGCGATTTCCAACATCCAGCGGTCGCCCCATCTTCTCTCCCCTCCTCATCCTCATCCTCCTCCGATTGCCTTGTTTAGCAGGTGCATTGGCTGTGAATGCTTGCAGTCCAGCAGGGTGGTTAGAATCCTCTCCGTTGGGGTTTGAGGACGCTGGTTTGGCTTTCGTGCCGATGATAACATCATCTGTAGTTGGTGTATTCGTTGCCTGGTGCTCAGGAAGCGACATTCACAGCTCGTTGGTCCTCGGAAAGAGGACCAGGCGGACTTCGGAAGTTTTTCGCGCTCACTGCTCACCATGTTCGAGCTCACTCTGGCTAACTGGCCAACCGCGAGCAGGGTAATGGTGGAGGAAGTCCACGAACTTTGGTTCATCTATGCCGTGGCACACAAGATGATGCTCGGGTTTGCAGTCATCTCGAGGGCTGCGCCCGCTGCTGCCGGCCCCCCCGGGCTAGTCTGGGGGCCGCGTCGGGGCCATCTCGGGGCCACTCGGAGGCGTCTCGGGACCTGCCTTGGAGCCCGTGGAATCGCTCAGACGTGTGCATGGTTTCTCGGCGAGAACCATCGAGGACCCTCCTGGGCCATCGAGCAACAAAAATCGCGCACGAAACCTAACAATGCACGGGAAATGGACGTCCGAGCGACGGCAAGAGCCTCTCGGGTCCCCCGCGGGGGTGGGGCGGGGCAGAGGCAGCAGCGCGCTGCGCGCGCCGCGTCCCGGGCCAAGGGCGGCCGCCCTTGTCCAGCGGGGGAGGCCCGGGGGCGCGAGGGCGCGAGGACGGTCGCGGATCGCGGGGCGCGATGCTCGAAGGCAGGGGGCCTGGGGTAGTTCAGGAGGGAACGAACCACACAGACACAAGTAATCGCCGAGTCCCAGGGAAATGTGGAAAAGTATGGGAAGTGGGGGGGAAGGCGAAAGCCCAGAACATATGGGAAAGCATGGGGAATCCTGTTATTTGTGTCTGTTTATTTGTGTGTCCCTTGGCCCCTTCAGTAATTTTGGGGCTAGCTTGAGGGCTCTGGGGGCAATTGTGGGGGCCTCCTGGGGGCGTCTCTGGACACTCTTGCAGCCCCGTGGGGCCATCCCGGGCGATCCCCTGGCGGCATCTTGAGGCCTTTGGGGTCTATCTTTTCTGGCAGTCTTGAGCACTAGCTGGGGCTCCAGGGTCGTCTTGAAGCGATGTTGGGACAGCCTAGAAGCAGAATTTGTGTCCTGGCCGGAACATGGTTTTTCTAGGGTTTTGGGTCTGTCGCGCTTTTTGGTCATCTTAGTGCCATGTTCAGCCATCTTGATCTGTTGAGGTTCTCTTTGGGGCCCCAGAGGCGTCTTGAGCACCCTTGATTGCCTGGTGGCGTCTCTACAGGAATCCTGACCAATTTAGATCGACCACCAGGCTGAGCCTCCCAATGTTTTTGTTTGTTTTTGATGGCGCAGGCGCAACCCTGGAAGACAGCATAATGGCGTACTTACATCTTTTATATAGGCGGATTGGAGTTATCAATGGCGTCTTCATTCAGGAGACATTCAACGTCGCCAAGCTAGACAACGTCGTCATGGTAAGGCAGACCTTGCGCAAAGCTCGTGTCCACGAATCGAAGATGCATGCTCTCTTCACGGAGGCGGACAGGAACAACGACGGCCGGATTGATCTGGACGAGTGGAAGCAGGCACCCGCCAGCCGATACGAGGGAGCAGCCCGGAACCACTTGGGGGTGGAGGAGGTGGAGGAGGTGACCGCTTTTCCGAATCGAGGGAGCCAACGTAGAATGACACATCAAAGCAGATCCAGCTGAAGTCGAAACCGATCTGTTTGTCGAGCGGAGCGCTGGAAGTGCTGCTGTGACGAACGTGTCGATGAAACTCAGGAGGGAAAGAACACACACAGACACAATTAGTCGTCGACTCCCCAGAAGAGATGGGAAAATATGGGAAGTGGGGGGGAAGACAAGAACCCAGAAAACGTGGGAGAACATGGGAGCGCACATGGGTATTTGTGCGTATCTAGTTGTGTGCCCCAGGGCCCGTTCCGAGACATGCCAGGGGGGCGACAGCCCGGGCGCCCCGCCGTGCGAGCGAGGGTCCGGGCGCCCCGGCGTGCGCGAGCCGCAGCAGAGGCCCAGCGTGGCCTCGCGGCCGATCCTCTGGCGGCCGCCCTCTCCTCTCCCTCCCGTGCCGTCTTCGCCGGCGCCGCCGTCGTGTCTCTGCGGTCCTCGCCGTCGCCGCTCGTCCTCGTCGCCGTCGTCTTTGCATCTGTCTGTCGTCGTCTTGTCCGGGAGACCCTCGTGCCTCCAGGCACGCGCGAGGTCAGCCCAGGGTCCTAGAGTCGCAGAGTCCTCCCCTGCCTGCTCCTCCTCGCCACCGTCCTCGCCGTTGTCCTCCTCCTCCTCCTCCTCCTCCTCCTCCTCCTCCTCCTCCTCCTCCTCCTCCTCCTCCCCCTCTCCCTCTGGCGGCCGCAGGGCGTGGATCCCGCACACAGGCGCACGCGTCGCGCAACACACAGGGGTTTCACTCACCAGGGCCGCCCTGTGGCGGCGCGAAGGCAGCTGCACCCTGGGCTTGGTGGTCTGGGCCAGGTGGTCGTCTGCTTTCAAGGTAGGGGGCAGGTATCAACGAGGGGTCAAGCGACGGTCAAGCAGATCTCCGGTACAGCGGCGCCAGGGCGAGACCATGCCCATCGGGTAGGCCACAGAAGGGCGGCCGCATGGCGCCTCGGGCCTATTTCGGGACACCTTTCACACGCATCGTAGCTCCATCTTCTCTCTGCCTCACTCCTCATCCCCGACGCACTGCTGTTATTCGTCCTCGTCCTTCTCATCCACCTCCTGGTCTTCTTGCTCGCCACCACTCCTCCGTATCTGCCAGTTTGCGCTACTCGCAGCTGCATGTGGTTGGGTCCTTCGCCAGAATGTTTGTGCTTGTTGGGCGGGGTCTCCTGGTTTCGGACCCCAGTCTCCAGATTTTGCAGCCAAGCGCCCTTGAAACGCGCTCTCCTTGTTCTGCGCTCATCTCTCTCTCTCTCTCGTTCTCTCCCTCTCTCTCTCTCTCTTTCCCCCCCCCTCTCTCTCAAGGGAGGACGTGGGGAGAAGACCAAGGATGGGGAGGGACATGGTTGGAATTCGGGAGTGATGGGCTTGCCCGTGCAGGTGTGCCAGGACGAGTGGGTCAAGATCTGGCTCGCATCCCAGGACAATCGGGCAGCACCGGCGGGCCGTGCCGCCTGCCGCTGTGGCTCGTGGCTGTCGTGGATGCTGCGCTGCTGGGCTCGTCAGAGTTTGAAAGACGCATGAGCTCTATCGTTGGAGCTGTTTCGGTTGTCAGTGTTGCTGCTGTGTTGGTTCCCTCTGGTGCTCCGTGTTACTATCGCTGCCATCGTCCTTTTGTAGCATCGCCCTCGCCCTCCTTACCCGCCCGATTGTCCTCGCTCCTTGTCTTCATCGGAAGGACTGCGCTGCCGGCCCTCTTGGCACCTTCTTGGGCCATCCTGGACGATTTCCGCGTCACCTTCTTCGTTGTTTTGGGGGACACGTGGGGTCCGTCTTGGGCAACTTCGGGGGCTTAGGGGGCCGTCTGGACGCGATCTTTGGGCGTGTTGGGAGCAGCGTGAACATTTGAAGCACTACCTGTTTTCAATGCTGCTTGCCCTCTCCAGGGCGGGTCCTGATGGGCTCCTGCGCTACCTCAGAAGCCCCTTGGCTTCATCTTCGGCCGTCTTGGTCCCTTGCGCTTGTCTTCGGAGCCTCCCAGCGCCGTGGGCCCTCCTGGCCATGCCGAGGGCGACCCTGTGGGAATCCTGTATCAGCCCAGGGAACGGCCAGGAATTGGAGGGGTACCCCCTCCCAGGTGTTTTTTGTCGTGCGGCCCCCCGAGTAGACTATCATGTGGACACGACTGGAGAGAAGAGACGAGCGCAAGCGACACATCATATATGCACAAGACTGCGATGCACAGCCGGATACTTCACAGCCTTGCGCTCCCGAGGGTGCTGGCAGATTTCTGATACGGAATTCGACTTCAAAGTTATCTCGGGCCTCTTCATGCTCGAGGCCTTCTGGCCTGGCTTCTGTCATCCTCCTCGTCCTTCCCTCCTTTCCCTTCTGTGGCTGCCGCCTTCATGCCAGAGCGGGATGACCCTGGGGCGCAGCCCAACATCAGTCGTGCCGCCCCCCGCCACGGAGGGGGCCGACCAACACCTGTGCTGCTCTGAGACGCAGCCCAACACCTGTGTTGCCTCGCGGTCGCCCTCCTCCTCCTCCTCCTCCTCCTCCTCCTCCTCCTCCCAGGCAGCGCCGACGAAACACGGATGGTGCCTGCGGCCTCCTCGCGCTCCCGGCCGCCCGCCTCTGCGCCCAGGACCTCGACGTCCGGGACGCGGAGGCCCTCTTCGGCATGCTCGACGACGGGGACGGCATCATCACCTCCGAGGACCCGGCCGCTGCCGCCGACAGGTTCGCGCGCCGCGCCGACCAGCGGCAGCCCCCTTCGACGCTCAGCGTGGAACGCCGCCGGGCGAGCCGGGAATCGGTCGGTGTGGAACGATCGGACGTTGCGGAAGCGTCGGATCGTCCCGGGCTGAGCGGAGCCTGGGGCGTCAGAGGGCAGCGCCGAAGGAGGCGGCACCTCACGGGCCTGCCGTATGGGGCCTTTGCTTCGCCGCTCCTGCCGCGCCCTTGTTCGAAGGTGCGGGGCTTCTGGTGGCGCACGGGCGGCCCGCCCCCCTCCCCAGGTGCACACTGTTCATGTCTAAGTCTTCGAAAGTTCTTTGGTTTGGGGGGCCAAGATCCTTTCATTTCTAATTCTTCTATCCTGGGCCTCTTCCTGGCCACGAGGGGGCAGGAACAAACAGAAACGAGCACAACTAGGCATGAGCACGATTCGAACTCAACGACGGGTAGTCCCGGCTGGCCTCAACGGGCCCCCCTGATAGTCCGCGGCCCAGCTGCCCTGATACGCTAGTGTTGAGACGCAGCACGTGCCGTGCTCGAAGCGTCCGTGGTGACGCGCTCCGTGTCGGCTCGGCACGTGTCGGCCCACGCTCGCTCTGGCCGAGCGTGCCGCGCCGGACCTGCGCTTCCAGTCTGCGTGTGCTGAGCTCCGTGTCGGCACGCTACGCGTTGAGTGTTGCGAGTCGGGGCAGCGGCGAAGCCCGTGGCGGTGTCAACACCTTGGCGCCGCCTCCGGCGGTGTCTGGGGCTCGCCGCGCCACAGGGTCGAGTCGGGTATAGCCAGGACCCCAGGTAAGCGGATCCGGCTAGTGGTAGGGCCCCTGAGCCCCTAAATTGGCCAGTGTCACTAACCCAGGTCTGCCGTAGTTGGTGTTTTCTCGGGTGACGACAGTTCCGGTTAGTGGAACGGGGCGGGGGGGCGTCCCCCAGTACACATCACTAGACCAGGTCCCACTAAACCCAGTTCTGCCAACGCCCGATTGAGGTGTTGAGACCGCCCCAGGCTTCTCGGGGAGCTGGGGCCTGTTGAGGTCAGCCGTCAGCCAAGACCACCTGGGGGAGGGGCGGGGGCTGCCTTCGGAAGCAACTTCTGAGAGCCTGGAATTTTCTGAAATTTTGCCTTTAGAGTCCATTCGCTTGCGCTAGCGTCTATGAATCGATGAGGAAGCGCCGATCTAGCGTCGATTCTCGTCTATTTAGCGTCGGTTGGCGTCGTTTAGCGTCGACTAGCGTCGGTTAGCGCCGATTCGCAATGGCCAGCAAGATGACATGGGAGGCTCCCGTGAGTTGCCACCGAACTGGGGGGGGCTGTCTGTACGAGAACCGAAGCCTACCACTGGGAGAGCAATAACCACTATCAATATTACGCCAGTCGGACGACCTCTGTCGGCATGTTCCTATTGTCGAATTACCAGGCGTGCTCACAGCAAGCGATTGAGCAGCTTGCGCAGTTCGAGAGACCACACGCGCGTCAGTGGAACGCTTCCTCCTTCCCCCCTGCTTCCCTCCCTGCGCGGACGCACTCCCTGCTTTTTCCTGGTGCCGGAGGAGCCGGCGCCCCTGCTGTGTGGCCCCCGAGGTGGCCTTGCTTCGGAGGAGGGCCCACTCGAGACCACGGTGGCCCTTCCTGGCGACCTTTCGCCTCCGTTGGCCCCCCCCCCCTGGAGGCTTCTCCTCGCCGCCGCGGCGGGCTCCGCCTCGAACGCCGGGCCAGGACGGGTCCCTGGGAGGGGTCCGGGGGTGGATCTCGAGCGGAGTGGGGCTGGGCGACGGAGAGAGAAGCCGCCGTCTCCCCCCGGCCCCTGCTCGACGTCTGGCGCCAGCCGGCCGCGTGGTCGCTGTCGGGCCCCCCATCCAGGTCTGCGCCCTGCTCTGCGCCGTCTCTCCGCCTGCTCTCGCCTCCGTGCGCCCTCTGCCTCACATGCCGTCCCCTCCGCCCGCCTGCCCCGCCTATTCCCTTCCACTGCCTCCTCCTCCTCCTCCTCCTCCCGATCATCCCCCTGCCTCGTCATCCTCCGCCTCCGCCTCGTCCTCTTTGTCGTCCTCCTCGTCCTCTTCCTCCTCGCTCTGTTCGTCCACGTCGTCGGCCTCGTCCTTGGCGACCTCGGTCGTCTCGGTCGGTCCTGTCGTCGCCGTCCCAACTATCACCTTTGCCGTCTTGCTTCCGCCGGACGTTTTCGCTCGAGGCCCAGCTCGTGATCTTTCGCTCTCGCTCGGGTCGGAGATGCCAGAGGTGCCCCTGGCCCGAGGTGCCCCCAGGACTTCCCAGGAGGCCCCGCACAGCCTCCGGAGCGCACCCCTCACGAGGCCCTGGGGGCCCCCCGAGGCTCCAGAAGGAACGGAGCGCCAAGCTGGGGGCACCCACTCCTTGGCAGCTCCCGATCCTGGGCCACCCGCCTGGCGCGCGCACTGCGGCCTCTCTGCGCCTGCCCAGCGTGAAGTCGGGCCTGTGCCTCTGCAGGAGGCGCAGTCAGAAATAGTCAAACAAATAGTCTGGGGACGACGTTTTTTTTGACTATTTGTGAGCATTTGGGGGATATTTTTTGACTACGGGCCTCGGAAAAATAGCGAACGCTCATGCCACATTCATCTACCAATGCCCGCCCAAGGATCAATGCTGGCGGTGGGTTGGATGGATGCGTTGCACCTGGACCGCAGTCTTCCCCGCGCGTGCCAACTTTGAGCTCTGGGGGGCGGGGGAGTGTCTGCTGATTGTTTCACTCCACCGTATTTTTTGTTTTTCGTCCAACATCCCCCGGTATCAGGAGGGGAAAACACACAGACACAACTAATCGTCGATTCCCCAGAAAAGATGGGAAAATATGGGAAGTGGGGGGGGAGGAGACAGAACCCCCGAAAATATATAGGGAAATGTGGGGGATCCTGTCATTGGTGTCTATTTCTTTGTGTGTCCCAGGGCCCCTCCACTGTAGGCGGACAGGCCCGACCTCAGCCGCCCGGTGCCCGGGCGCCGCGGGCCTGGCGGCGGGGAGGCCGCAGGGCGCCGGGGCGCCGTCGGGTCGGCCGCTCGGGGGCTGCTCGCCCGCGCAGCGCGGGCAGCGGAGAGCCCACGCCCAGAGGCACCCCCGCGCGCCTCCAGGGTGCCCCGGGTGTCTTGGCGTTCGATTCCTCCTCGTCCTCCTCCTCCCTCCCTCCTCCTCCTCCTCCTCCTCCTCCTCCTCCTCCTCCTCCTCCTCCTCGTCCTCCTCGTCCTCCTCCTCCTCCTCCTCCTCCTCCTCGGGCACCCTGGGATCGCGGCGCTCCGAGGTGCGATTGTCGCTGGTGAGGGCAGCAGGGGGCCGGGCAGTGGATCTCTTGGACTCCGTGTCGGAGCATTTTTTGACTATTTTCCATTCGTCTTCAAAGTCCCTCTGTAGGGGGACAGGCCCGACGTAATCCTGGGACCGTCCAGACGCAAGTCGGGATAGAGAACCGGCCCGGGGGAGAGGGCGGTCGGGGCTCTGATCGGGGGTGGCTGCAGGCGCCCCTGGCCCAAGGTCCTCAAGCAGTGGCGAAGCGTCCTGGCTCGCCTACATAGGCCTACCATGTTCTACGAACTTTGGTGGTCTCCACGAAAGGTTCTCAGAGCATGTCTGGCTGGGGCTGTCTTGTTTTAGCACATCGGGTTCATGCTCTAAGACCATGGTTTTTCTTGTTCGGACATTTTCGTGTTTGAAGAACGTGTCGTGGTTGGCCTATAGGAATACCGGGACGGTCGGTCCCTGTTCAACTGCTTGCCTCCAGGGTGCCCAGGGTTTCTTAGCTTTCGGTGGTTCTGCAGTGGAAAGCGCGACGCCCCCACACCAAAAACATCAGTGGACGTCCCGAGGTCTCAGGGCTGGGTTTCTCGTGGAAGGTTTCTCGCGGACGAGCTCCTGCTGTGCTTGCCGAGCACGGGGCTGCGGCGCCCGCCACCCAGCCGGAGTTCTCGAGCAGTGGCGATGCTTCCTGGCTTTCTTGCACCGGCCCACCAAAGAGTGCTCTGAAGTCCTCTTGTGGCTTGCGCGGGGTGTTCTTGGAGCATTTCTGGCTGGGACCGCCTTACTTCTTCTCTAATGAAATGGGCCTGTGTGTCGGTCTTGCGGCTACGCTGTCGCCATCGCCGCCCCGTCGCCGCCTCGTCGCCGACCGTTTTCTGGCCTGTCTGTCGGTCTGGCGGCTATGTTGTCGCCGTCGCCGCCTCGTCGCCGCCCTAGACTGCATCGCATAGATTGCACCACACATTCTCCACCGCATAGATGGCACCGCATATATCGCACCATGTAGATGGCACAAGTTGGATTGCCCCGCAGAGAGTGCACAACATACGTTGCATCACACAGACTGCACCACTGGACTTGTATAGCACCAATTCCATTGCAGTACCTAGGTCGCAGCACCTATGCTGCCCCACTTAGAGTGCACCCTATAGTTTGCACGACATATAGTTAACAGCGCAGATCGCACCACATGTATTGCACATCATAGATTGCAGCATGTAGATTGCACAGCATATACTGCGCCACATGGTTGCACCACATATATTGCACCACGCACATTGCATAACATAGATGGCGCCACATAGATTGCATCAGTTTGGTTTGCACAACATACGTTGGACCACACATCTTTTAATACGTATATTCTCCGTACTACATCGGAGTATTCGGATCTATCTCCCCCCCACCAGATTTAACTGCCCATTAATCGTATTGCAATTCTTTACGTTTCGCGTATCCCCACCAGCCCATCCAGAAACGATGCTCATAACAGTTGACGACACGCATCGTCAAACAGCGAGGGAGGCTTGGGAGGCACCGTGGCCACCTCGAGCCGTCTTGGAGCGGTCTTGGGGCCGCTTGGAGCATCTTGAGAGCCATCTTGATCCAGATTGGGCTATCTGAGCCATCTTGGAGGTCATCTTGGGCCTCTTGGGTGCCTCTCGGGTGCCTCTCTATGGGCCTCTTGGGGCGCTCTTGGAGCCCTCTTAGGGGCATCTTGGGAGCCCTGGAGCGCCTCTCGCGGCCATCTTGAAGGCGGTCGGTCAAAAGAGGGGGGGTCCTCGATGTGCTCGATGTAGCCCCGAGCTCCACCCCTCGGGGGCAACGATCCTCGTGAGAGGTGTCAAAACATGGCCCCCCCAGGGGCCGAAAGAAGGACCCTCTGACACATCGGGGTCCCTCCCACAAAAACCCCAGGGAGGGGATGGGGAGGGTTCCCCTCCCCCCCAGGAAGAGGGTTGTGGAAGAGGAAAGAGACCCCAAAGGGCTGCAGGGATCTGAATATGATTCTGCCCCACCGCCCATCCTACATCTGAATTCGTATCATCCCAGCTAATCCGGCAACGCCCCCCCCACAATCCTCTGCTCAAAACTATGCGCGCACACTCGTTCATCAACAATCTTCAGTTTTCAAGGAATCCTTTGCAAACAATGGGACGACGTGCACACGCGCGCGTCGTCGCGCACGCATGCCGGATTGTTTCAAACACCATAGGTTTCGTAAGGATTTCAAGAATGACTGCCCCGCAGCAGATAAAAGACGCATGGTTTCGCAACTTCGGTTTTCAAAACAACTTGGGCTCACATTCTTGGGAGTTCTCAAGAGAACCATTGGTTTTTCAACGTTTCCACATAATGCTACCAACGGGCCTCTCGCGCCCGCATGCCTAGAGGTTTCGAATGCCCTTGCGCGCGTGCTGTTGCACTACTCCCTTGCAAGACATGGGCCGAATTGCACACGCGCGCGTCGCCGCGCGCATGCCGAAATCCTTCAAACACCCGAATGGAGTGTCCCGAAGACAAAAAGAAGAAACAACACGCACATGGTTTCGCAACGTCAGTTTTCAAGAAAGCCTGTGCTCGTATTTCTGCGAATTCTCAAGGGGCACCATCGGTCTGTCAACATTTTCCTTACATTCGGCCAAACAGGCCTCTTGCGCCGCATGTCGAAATCATTCGAACGCCCTTGTGCGCGTGCTGGGGGCACGATCCGTCTCAAACAACACCATGCGGGCCACTCTCGGGCGTCGGCCGCGCGCGCATGTCGAGCTCCCTCCACAACGTTCATCACCGACGCGAGGACGCCGTCATCGTCGTTGGCACGATCAGCATCGGCGCCGACACTGGCCGTGCCGCCGTTGTTGTCATCATCACCAGCAGCATTGCCACGATCCTCATCGTGTCAACCGTTGTTGGCGTTGCCATGCTACCGCGCCTGCAACAGTCGCCGATGCGCACTGAAGAACCCACTGGGATGTGCCGCGCGGTCAGCGCCACCGCGGCTGCGTCGGTCGCGCCAAACTAGCTGACCGCTGCGCGCGCGAGCATGCGCGGGCTGGCGCGGCCGGAGACATGCACCAGCCAACACAATACACTCATTGCAATCGCCGCCGCATGGTTATTGCAAACCTAGTTGCGGGTGGGTGGGTGGGCGGGATAATTGCGCGAGCAGTGGGGTTGCCAACTCACTGCGGACATGCGTGAGTTGCACCACGCAGATGAGTCACCTCGACTGCCCAACATAAGAGTGCACCACATATACTGAACAACGTGGATTTCTAGACGCAGGCACGGTCTAGGCGCTACGTTGGCGAACATTCTCTGCGCATTAGTTTGTTCTAAGCAAATGCCGTGGTATGCTTATAGGAATGCCAAGATGGTCGGGCCCTGCGCAAAATCAGGGACGCGACTGTTTGGGAATCGCAACAGTTTGAACGTCATTTTCGGCGCCCGCAGCGAATTTTCGGATCGGCGCTGGCCCCCTGGCAGTGCCTCTGGGCCCGCCCCTGGCTTGTTCCGCGCGCCAGGGAGGGGGGGGGCCTGGCGCCGATCCAAAGAATCCTCGCGGATCTTCGCCTGTTTATGTGTATGTTGTTTTCTTTCTAGGCAGGCACCTGTGTGCCTCACGCAGGGGGGGCAACAGCAACACTGTACAGCCCAGGCCTGCCGCCCACCTCCCCGACGCGCGCGCGGGCACTTTGGGAGCAGCACCCGCTTGCTGGCCAGCAGCCTCCGCAGTCTTTGGCGAACCACCGCAGCAAAAATTAGGCCCGCCTGGATCCCAACACTTCGGCGCCTTGGCCGATGGCACCGTTGGACGAGCTCGTCGGGGCGCAAGAGACGGGGGCCAATGCAAACGGGGGTCAGCCAGAGCGCGGGATCTTTCAGGATCCTGCAGAGCCAGGGGCGCACTGACCCGGGCTTTGGCTGCAGGACCCCGCAGGCTCCTGCAGGCTCGTCCAGGATCCTGCAGCGCTCGACTCACCCGGGTCTGGATCGACCCGCGTCCGTAGATCCCCGAGCTTGCTGCTGCGCAGAGGTAGTACAGTCGGCCCTGATTAGCAGGTCGACCCTGCCAAATCAAGGGCACCCTTGTGTCCTGTGCCTCGCGGCCCGTGCCTCCGACATCCCTGTGGCCGTGTGGCCCCCCAAACGGGCCTCGTGTCCTCTCGCGTGCCCGGTCCAATCCAGCCCGAGTGCATCGGCCACCGCAGCCTTTCCGCTTGGCAGAACGCGCCCCCGCCTGCGGCGCCGGCTCGCGGCGGCGCCCTGCGGGTCAGCCGGCCTGCTCGTCTCTTGCAAGCGCGCGGCGTGCCTCGTGGGCCCGCCCGTGGGCCTCGGACCCCCGTGGCCGGTGGAGGTCCCCCGGTCGCCCGAGGTGGCCCCCCAAGAGTGGCCCCCGCGGGCCCCCTTTGGGGCTGCCCAGGGAGCGTCCCTCTCGCCCCTGTGTTGCCTGTGTGTGGCGACGTCCAGGTGGGCGCGCGGCGACGTGGGCGGCCAGATCCACGGGCGTGGACGATGCGAGGTCAACGCTGCCTTAGGGCCACCGCCCGTCGCGGCCCGGGCTTGGCCGTAACTACTTGGGGCCCCACCTGAATATGGGGGGCACCCTGGAGATCCAATCCTGCAAGCTGTGAACGGTCATCTGCTTGAGGCCCGGGTGTGGCTGTCCATCTTGACGGGGTGAAACCTCGAAGCCAAGAGCACTCCGACTGCTCAGGCCGAGCCCTTGCTGCGCTCACATGGCAACCGCTGATTATGTGCGCAGGCGACCCCGTTTACAACAAAGTAGTTAACGATGATGGGGTGTTGTATTGCCTTCGCCGCAACGCCGATATAGTCCAAGCAGTATGATGGAAATCTGCCTCGCTCTTGCCCGCATGCTTGGCCACAATGACCTTCCAGGTTAAACATTGGCTATGGCCCTCATCTTGAAATAGTCAACAACGTGTCCGCATTTGCGATCTGTTTGGGCAGCTGTCGCAGTTAGGCGACTGACATTATCATGATGAACATCTACCGTGACCCCACGAGTCACCACAGCAACCTCACTGATGCTCGCAGTCTTCATCAACATGGGTCAGCGATGGCATACCTGGGAACAGGAGCAGGAGCATGAGAAGGAGCAGCGTGATACGGATGAGGAGCACGCGAGCAGGCGGGGGGGGAGGAGCAGGAGGGGAACACGGGGGGAGAGAACCGAGCCCCACCAGTCGGAGGAGGAGCATCGCAGGGAGGAGAAGGGGCCCCCAGAGCTCTCGCCCCCTCCCCCGCGGCTGGCTTCCTCGTCCCGAGACCTTCTCGGACGGCTGCTGGGCCTTGGAGCGGCCCTGGACGCCGACGGTGCGAAGAGCCGTCGAAAACGCCGCTTTCGAGACGCCAGGCGCCATGGGCCCTTCCAGGGAGTCCCTTCGTGCTCCAGTCGGTGATGCCCCCTCCCCCCATTCACCCCACCCAAAACAGATCTTCGAGCCACGCTCCTCGATTCCTCCTCTCCCTCTTTCTCCTCCTCCTCCTCCTCCTCCTCCTCCTCCTCCTCCTACCCCTCCTCCTCCTCCTCCTCCTCCTTCCCCTTCTTGCTTACCCCCCGCAGAGGAGCTCATCAGGGGCGTCGCGCGGCTGAAGGGCCCCGCCGGCAGCATGGAGCCCGCCCTTCTCAGCTCGTCCTCGTCGTCCTCTGTCTCGTCATCGCTCGTCGTCGTCGCCGCCCTCCTCGTCGCCGCCATCGGCGTCGTCGCGTCGTCGATGCCCCATTGCCGTCCTCGTTAGCGTCTTCGTCGTCGGCATCGTCGCGGTCGCGGATCGACACTTTGAACACCCGACCGTCCCAGCATACCGGTCTTTACCACAGAAGATCCAGCATGCCGAATTTCACCACACCGAAAAGGGAGAGAAATAGAGAGAGAGAGAGAGAGACCGACACAGACACATACACATACGCGTACACAGGCACGCATATACACACATGTTAGCCAGCATTGACCGCAAACAGTGATCTCTTGCAATGTATGTGGTGCAATCAAGGTGGTGCAACCAGTGGGGTGCAATCTAGGTGATGCAATCCATGCTGCACAATCTAGGTGGTGCAAAGCAATGCAAAGCAGCCAAAAGCAATGCAAACCAAGGCAATGCAACACAAAGCAATGCGAAGCAATGCAACGCACCTCAAATCAATGCAAAGCAATGCAACACAATGCAAAGCAAGTCAGAGCAATGTGAAGCAGTGTGAAGCAATGCGAATCAAACTTCTGCACAGCAAATTAGCTCAAAGCACTGCAACGCAAGGCAATGCGATGCAACGCGATGCAATAGAATCCAACATAATGCAGCGCAGTGCAGATACACATGCAAATGCAAAGTAATGCGAAGCAGTGCAGTGAAAAAGCTCTGCCGAGCAATGTAGAGCAATGCAAAGCAACGCGGTGACGGGCGGCGACGCGCCAGCCGCTTCGCCACTGGGGCCCAGCGGCGACGGGCGGCGGCGAGCCGGCTGGACTGCCGCTGGGGCCAAGCGGCGACGGCGGCGGCGGGCGGCGGCGGCGACGAGCCGGCCGGACCGCCGCCAGGCCAGCCGGCTCGTCGCCGTATGCTCGGGGGCCCCCAAACGGGGTGGGGACCACACCGTGTGGTGAGTCGGTGGGGATTCGGGGTCACCGCACGGTTTTGGGACTCGAGTGCCTCTCCGAGGATGTCTTGGGCGACAGGGGCCTCCAGGGTCCCAAGACCGTGCGGTGACTGACCGTGCGGTGAGGTCTCTTGGGGTTCCGAGGTCACCGCACGGTCTGTCACCACACGGTTTCGGGATCCCCAATATGCGCATATGTCTAGAAAGGGCCTTGCCTTCAATGATCGAAGCAGTTGTCACCTCTTCCTCGGCGGAAGGCGGCGGAAGACCAGCGGAAGTCCGCGGAAGTAAAGCATGCCCCCCCCAAGAGATGGCAACATTTTTGAGGCAGCTTTTCCAGAACACGCCATGTGCATCGTTGCCTTCGTCCCGTCCCGCCACAGTGCTTTGGCTGCGGATCAGAGGCCTCGTGGATGCCTTTTGGGGTATTTTGGTATGGAGGCTGGCACAACTAGTTTGAAATGTTGATTTGGTGCAAAATTCCGTCCCGGGGGCGCAGTTTTTGTATACTGAACGTGGCCCTGTGGGGTGGAACCTGACTGGGGTGGTGAGGGTGTGGTATACAGAAAGAACCTGAGGATGTGATGCCTGGAGGGTCCAGGATGCACTCTTCGTGCGAGCATGCCGCATAGCACGGCCAGCCTGCTCTTAGTGTGATGCACTGTGCGTGCGCAGCTTCCGATGACAGCTCCAAGTGGTCCTGCGACAGTTTATCACGGCCACCCTGCACAATACCGCGTGCTTGTGGTTTGGTTCGCACCCCCCTTCGTCGAGTGCTTTTTCTTGCTGCCGACTCTCTCCTCGGAAACTGGAACATATACATTGCCAGTAGCGCGCTGTCTTTCAATCCCAGGACTTCTGGAGGGTCGAGGACGACGCTGGGGTAGTGTGGTGTATATTTGTTTCCCCCGATGTCCCGGGAAAACAACGAAACATGTATACACCAGGGTCCCGTACACACCAGGATCCGCTCTCCAGTGCAAATTCCAATGCAGGGCTGGAAGCAGCGTCGGTGTATAGAGTTCGATTCCTTATCTCCCCCCATGGGCCTTTCCATTCCTCTATTTCATCCTTCCCCTGGTCTTCGTCCCCACTCGCGCCTCAAGTACAGTTCTAAAGGTCGAGGTTTGAGTCCACAGCTGGACTGGCTAATAGGAAAGGACTGAGCATAACATGTAGGAATGGGAGAGCGCAGGATGTCAGTTGTGGCACGCGCGCGCCTAGCTTGCCCTCTCCCCTCTCTCTCCCCCTACCGCCGTTGCTCTCCTCACTCCCCGTACCCGCCCACCCCGTCAATCCACCCTCCCTGCCTCTACCCCCCGCTCATCCTATCTCTGTTTTCTACGCTTCCTCCCTGACTCCCTGTATTATATTCCCCACTCCAACATACGTCCTCCCCGCCTCCCACCCTTCCTCGCTCCTCATGTCTCGCTTCTCGCTCCTCGTTTCTCCTTCCTCACTCCCCGCTCTGTCTACTTCTCCTGCCCCTCTTGCCCCTCTTGCTCCTGGCTTCTCCCTCCTACCTCTTCTCCCCTCATGCCTCCTCTTTCCTCCATCTCTCCAGTGTCTTGATCCTTCCTCTGCTGTCGTCCCCCACCCCCGTCCCATCTCCCGTCACTCTCTCGTACCTCTTCCATCCTTCCTGTTCCTCCCTGTTGCCTCCTCCCTCCTACCTCCTCCATTTCCCCTCCTCCATGCCTTGCTTGTTCTTCGTCTTTCGCTCCTCGTCCATCCCCCAAACCTCCTCACTCTGTCCCCTCCAATCTCTCTCTCTCTCTCTCTTCCCTTCTCCCTTCTACTTCGTCCTCGCCCCTCCTCCCCCTCCTTCTCCCCTCCTCGCCTTTCCCTTCCCTCGCTCCTCCTCCCCCTCCTTCCTCCTCCCCTCTCCCTCTCTGCTCATGCTTCTTCTCCCCTTCCCCCTCGTCTCCCTCCGACCCCCCTCCCCCCTCCCTCCCACCACCCGTCGCTCCGCCCACCTCGTCTCTGGTCCGCGGAGGACCTGCTGAAGTTGATGGAAGACGTCCGGGCGGTCATAGGTGACCCGCGGCGTCGGGAGAGGGAGCATTTTCCCCGCACCGCCCCCGCCAGCTTTCCGGACCTCCCGGGGCTTCACCAGCAGAAACCTTTCGGGGGCGGCCAAAAGGGGGGTGATGACTAGGGGGGGTGGATGTCATGGCGTGGGCCATGATATCTCTCCGGATTTCATTGCGCCTCTTCTCATTTCATTACGTCCCTGGCCATCCCCCCCGGGCCGTGCACATGCCGCCGGCCATGATTTGCACCCCCCCCCTCTTGGACGCCCCCGTCTTGGCTGCCCCCGAACCTTCAACAGCAGTCTGCTTCTGGCGGTCTCGGGTCTCTGGTGGCCCCGCTCGGGGCCCCTGGAACGTCGCGAGACGGCAGGGGTCGTGGGCGAAAGCCATCTCCGCATCCGCGGCCTCGCGGTCTGGGCCCCGGGGCGGCGACCCCGCGGATGCGGTGCGTTTTTTCCCGCGGATGCCCCGCGCGGAACTCCAGGTCCAGGCCTCGCAGATGTGGTCCGAGTATCGGGTTGACCCAAAAGGGGGGTCCAGCGACAAGGGGCTGGTGCAATAGATTTGGTGCAATATATATATATATATATATATATATATATGTGGGGCTGCAATACATTTGGGGCGTGCTATAAACTTCGGGGCGCAAAAACATTGCAGTGCTTCGCGTGCAATATATTACTGGCAATACAATGCAATACAATTCTCCGGCGCAATACATTTGCAATACATTTTCCCTAAATATATTGCACCACCACCTTTTCAGCTGGACCCCCTTTTGGGTCACCCAAGGAGTAGATGGGGTCGAAAATTCGCGCCGCATCGCCCGTGCATCGCCGATGCGGCCTGATGTGGAGTCCGAATTTCTCCACGCCGATGGCGCCGACGCATCGCCGACGTCGCCGATGCATCGCCGATGCATCGCGGATGCGGCGCCATCTTCCGACCCGATCTGTTCAGATCCCAGCTGGGAGGCCTCGAGGAGCGCATCCTTGCGACCAGGCACCCGCGGGGTCGCGCCTCCGAATCCAGACCGCGAGTGCGCGGCTTTCGGCTACGCGTAAGAGTGACGCTTCGCCGGAGTGCCCTTCGGTGCGAGCAGACAGGGGTCCTGCCAGCAACGGCTGGCGCGCTTGGATTGCCTGGGCTAGGCCTTTATATCAGAAAGGCAACCATTGGGTTGGGAGGACGGGGTTGGGAGGAATGATCAGATCAGATCCTCCGTATTATCGCGTATGCCAAGTGTGTTCATTACACAGTCCTGCCCTTGATCGTCCCGACCCCTTCCTCCGAACACGATGGATGTTTTCCTCACCGCAGCGGTCCCCGATGGCTGCGCACCAAAGGTCACTCTTGCCCAGGGTCACTCTTGCGTGTAGCCGAGGATACGGATGCGCTCACCGCTCGTGGAGGGGTCCCGGGGTCAGGGCCCTTTCGAGAGCCCCCGGGGCCCGCGCCGAGAAGCAGTCTTGGGCCTCGGCGTCTGTGCCTCCGGGAGCGAGCCATCCGCAGCTGCAGGAGCACGGCGCGGCACCCCAGACCCAAAGGCTACTTGCTGTACTGTGTGTTATCGCTGTTGTTTCGCGTCGCAAGGGCTCTCTACTGGAGCGGCGGGCATAGCCAACACGGGGTCACACAGCCCCGCTGGGTCACGGGGCCAACACGGGGTCAAATCAGCCTCATTGCGCTACCGAGGGTACACCCGTGTGCCCCCGAGACGGGTCACACGACATGCCCGCCAACACGGGTGTGTGACTGCCGCAAGTCGGCAAGGCTACAACATGGACGCGGCCTTATCTAGGGCTCCCAGATGGGTCCGATTAGATGGGCTCGAGTGATGGCGCCGCATCGCCGATACATCGTGGATGCGGCTCGATGTGGAGCCCCATGTTCTCAGCGCTGGCGTCGCCGATGCATCGCCTACGTCGCCGCTGTATCGCCGATGCATCGCCGATGCATCGCCGATGCGGCGCGATCCTCTGACCCCGTCTACTCGCACCCCATGTAGGACGCCTCCAATTGAGCCCGCAGAGCGGGCGTCACGGCGGGCCCCCATAGGGGACCACGCACGCAGATGTTGCAATCAGCAGGTGTTCGGGGTGCGGCTTCGACGAGGGTCGGTACCACGCATTGCAGTTCTTCTCAGGGCCGTATTGGCGTCCCTCTGGGGGGCAGGCGGTCTTCGGAGCCAACAGAAGGCCTCTGGCGGGTTCACGAGCCACGAAGGGGGACTTCAGGAGGCACGAAGTACACGAGAGGAGTGTGCCGCATTGAGGCTCGCTTTAGCCGTGGTGAGAGCCAGCGGATCGCCCCTGGAGGTCCATGGTGCACGAAGTGCGCGAGGGGTGCGCCAAATTGAGGCCCCACCTGAGCAGTCTTTTGGGCCGGCCGATCTCTCCCATGGTGCACGACGTGTGCGAGGGGTGTGCCGACTTGAAACTCCAGTGAGAATCGTGTCGCGGACCCCTCGTGTTTTACGTGTCTCAGAGGCCTGGGGGCGCGGGACATGCGTGAAGTGTGCGCCGACGCAAGGCTTTCGCAGCCCTGAGGGCGCATGCCATTTGTGCTTTTACATGTCCCCGGAGCTGTCACGCGCAGGTCTAGTGCTGGGAGCACGTTCTACCTGTATTTAGACGTGTCCCAAGAAGAGTGTGGGAAATTGGCTGGCGGAATGCGCGACGCTGTTCCTAGCTTGCATTTACGTCCTCGAGAGCATGATAGCGCAAATCACTTGTATTTCCACGTGTCCCAGGGGAGTGTGGGGCAGGAACTGTGTGACAGAATGTCGAATTGAAGCCTTCGTGGCCCTGCGAGGGCAAATCACGATGTAGTATTTGTACACGTCCGTGAATCATATTAGGCAGGACATGTGTGTGGGGAGCGCCGCAACGAAGCTTTCGTAGCCCTCAGAGCGCAACAGTTGTTTCACGTGCCCCAGGGGAGTATTCCGAATTGAGACTGTCGTCGCCCTGCGAGGGCAAATCACCCGTCTTCTTACGCGTCCCAGGGTAATGTCAGATTGGAAATGCGTGAGGGGTGCGCCGCAACAAGACTTTTGTAGCCCTCGGGGCGCGGATCACGCGTATATCTACATGCCCCAGGAGTTGTGATGCAGCCCTGCCCTGCGGATGCGCGAAGCCCCTTCGGACCATGCATTTAGGCATGCGGCTCAATCTCCTCCACGATCCTGCATCTTATTATCTTGTCTCGAAGCCGGACACTTCAAGGGCCCGCAAGGGGCCCGCCGAATTGAGCCCGCAGAGCGGGGGTCATGGCGGGCCCCCAGGGGGAAGCTTGCACGCAGATTTGCTTCGACGTTGGTCAGTACCAATCGTTGCAATGTTTCTTGGGGCCACGTTGGCGTTCCGTGGGGAGGGCCCACCAGTCTCTTGGGTGTCCCAAGGGAGTACGCGACAGGACATGCGTGAGTGGTGTGCGGAATCGAGGTGTTGGTGGCCTTGCGAGGGCGAAGCAGTAGTTTTTTACGCGTCCCTGGGTATTGTCAGACATGAAATGCGTAAGGGGTGCTCCGGATTGAAATCGCTTCGCTCATCCCGCTGGCCCATATGGCATCACTGTTGCTCTGGTGGCGTGCTCGTGGCGAGCAAGAGGGAGGAGGAGGAGGTGGAGGAGGAGGAGGAGAAGGAGGAGGAGAAGGAGGAGAAGGAGGAGAAGGAGGAGGAGGAGGAGGAGGAGAAGGAGAAAACGGAAGAGGAGGAGGAGGAGGCGGAGAAGGAGGAGGAGGCGGAGAAGGAGGAGGAGGAGGAGGAGGAGGAGGAGGAGGCCTCTCGATGGCTTCTTGGGGCACTCTTGGGGCCTAAATGGGTCGTGGGCTAGACGCCGACTGGGGAGGCGTCGTGGGGTCTCATGGGAGGCATCTTGGGGTCTTCTGGCGGCATTATATCTCACAGGAAACGTTTCTATGACCAAGGTTGGCCAGAGGGGTTGGCTAGGAGGGTTGGCCGCAGAGTTGTTTGTGATTGGATGGAGGTTGACTGGTTGGCCAGGGTATGTTTCACTAGGTCACCTACCGTCGAATATCGGGAACTGCGATGCCAAAAACTACTAGTTCTTCCCACGTGGGCATCGTTTCTTGTGTACCTCCCGTGAAGTTCCTCGAGGTCCGTGGTGTATGAGATGCGCGTTCCTTATGTCACTCGCAGCGTTTCCCTGGTGGGCCCCCCATGAGGTCTCGCGCACATTCGTTGAGTCACACGCCGTTCACGCTTCGAATAGCATGAATTGGTTGATTTCCAGAATGCCAGCATTGCCGGCGGTACGTGTCCACATGTTTCTTGTCCTCCTCGCGGAATCGATAAATTAAGGGGTGGCCAAGGGAGGAACGGGGGGAGGGAGGGGGGCTGCCTGGAGGAGTGATGATGTGAAGGAGGAAGACTGTAGAGGAAGCAGGACGGAGGATGAAATGGGGGAGGAGGGCGGAAGGATGGGGAAGGAGAGTGGCAGCGGGAGAAGGATAAGGGATGAGGGAGTAGTCGTGGAAGGAGTCGAAAGGGAGGAGAGACGGGGCTAGCACAGAAGGGAGACGGTGAAGGACGGAGGATGAAGAGGGGATGGGGGAAGGAGCGGGAGAGGGAGTATGGAGGACTCGTCAGTGAGGAATCCAGAGGGAGAGGGGATGAATGGAGGAGGGGTGGGGAAGGATGAGACACACGCAAGGGGAGGGAGGAGGAGAGTGAGGAGGCGAAGGAAGCAGGAGGATGGGGGTGGAATTCAGACAGAGTATGACGCGGGAGGCTTGCGGAATTGATATTGTAGGTGTTTGGATGGGGAAGTATGCGTGCATGAAGGAGGACTCGAAGAGGGATTGGGGGCGCAGGGGACGGAGGAAGGAAGAGGCAGGGGGGAGGAATCAGGAGGGGGAGTGAACCAGAGGAGGGGAGCATGAGCCTGAAAGGGGAAGTAAGAGGAAGAACGAAGAAAGGTGGGGAGCACGTATGAGAGAATATAGAGACAGGTGGGAGGATGGAGGTGGGGAATGAGGAATACGAGGAGGAGGAAGAGGAGGACGAGGATGACATCTTCGCGAGGCTCGGTTGGGGCTACCCTGGAGGGGGCTGGCCACTGCCGATTCGTTCTACACCGCCGAGTTTCGACGCGATTCTCTTTGGAAATTTGAGTTTGCCTCCATCGTCGAGTTCAAACATCGGCCCGACTAGTTCGACCCGGTTATGACGCTCGAGGCGATCGTTCGATTTGCGGTTGTGCCGACTTTCCACCTCGCGCAGATGTTCGATTCTTGCCCTCGGCTGCGCTCTGCTCTGTGAGTGTTTGGGCCTGGCCGAGCCCACTCTTCACAGCATACGGCAGGCTCGTGTCATGCCGAGGCGGCGGCGACCCCACCGCGGGCGTCCAAGCTTGAACGCCGCCACTTGACGCAGACAATCTGCATCAACATAAGCTTTCGGAGCTCCGCGCGGTCGGCGCCAAGGGCCCCCCTGGCGGCGCCTCTGGCGCCGCCTCTGGCGTGCTCCGCGCGACAGCGAGAGTCCAGCGCCGATCCAAGTAATCCGCGCGGAGCTCCGAAGGTTTCTGTTTCTGTTTTTTTTTCTTCTTATCGCCGGTGGCCCAGAACGAGCCAATATGGAACAATCCGGCGATTGACAGGGCAGCTGCCGATGCCCCCCGCCCAGGCAAAGTCCACACGGAGCTGAAGAGCCAGAGCTCCATGCTGTCCATGTCACAGTCCCTCTCGCTCAACCTTCACGAAGGGCTCTCTCGGTCCCAGACTCCCGAGCCGCTGCGCCGAGCACTGCAGCAGCGCGGCGAGTATCGCTTGGAGCCGGCTGGGGTGCTGAGGCGACCCACTTGGCATCGCTCGGACGTGTGCATTTTTCCTCCGGCGAAGACCATCGAGGAGCATGCTTCATCATTTGGCGAAAACAACCACGCACGAAACCGAAACAAAAACGCAGGGAATGGGCGCCCGAGCGATGGCCAGCCCAGCACTGGCTCTGGCCAGCAGAGGGGCGGGAGCACAGAGCCCCCCATCGACGCCACAGTCGGACGCGGCTCGGACGATTTGTCAGGCTCGACCCCCCTGGGACGAGTCGGGGGTCCGATTGGAGCGGAGTTGCCCCAGCCCCCCCCTCGTGACCAGTTCTCTTTGGGCTTGCCGCCGGCCCAGCTCAGTCCCCCCAGCCGCCTCCAGCTCATCGCAGGGCAGCGTCGGCCTCGCTTCTGGAATCGCGGTGAGGGCGGCACCATTCCAGACCCCGTTGTGGTGCGGGCCGTGCTTGACCGGACGTGCCCAAATGGCCTGCAATCGTCCGGAAGGCCAGAACGCCAGCACGGAGAGGTAGCATCCGGGAGCACGTTGACGGTTGTCTTCCGTGTCGGTGCTTCTTTTTCAATCACGGGACGGAGTCTTTTCGGGGGCAAGAACAGGACCGTGCCACTACGTCCGCAGCCGCCCCCGCGCACAGAGGCAGACGTGGAGCGTCTACCTCTGCATGGGCGCTTCTCCGAGCAGCCCGAGCGTAAGCGTTCAACGTAATCTGTACTGATGGGCCTGTTTTCCACCGCCACCACCAGAAGTAGGAGGGAGAGGGGTTCCTCCTCCTCCTCCTCCTCCTCCTCCTCCTCCTCCTGCTCTTCGTCCTCCTCCTCGTCCTCCACCTCCTTCCCCCTCCAAATTATGGTGGTGGTGGTGGTGGTGGTGGTGGTGGTGGTGGAAAACCGGCCCATCATGTACACCGTGTTTCGTGCGCAGGCCTGCATACTCGGCACACTTATGTGCTGCTCGCATCCTTGCGTCACTGGTGCAGGCTAGTTGGCCAGCGCCCCGCAGGAAGCGTTTGATATCATACTGTTTCACCAGGGCAACTGCTCGAACGCTTGCTGTAGCAGCGCCTCTCAGACAGCGGGCTCTAGATCGCACGCACCAGGCGGAGTCATGTGCAGGTGCGTTCAGTTGTTGATCTCTCTCAGCGCATTTCGCACTTTGATTTTCTCGCGACTCGTGTCCCCCGTGTGAGGGGCGGCCTTGGACTGGGCATACTCTGCTCGATTGCTCGTTAACATAAAATGTGAGCGTGGCACGGTGGGCAAGAATATGGTTGATAACACGCTAGACGAGGATGGTGTTGATGATGTCGTTTGCGATTCAGGTTACGGCGACGACCCAGACGATGAGGACGAATCGTCAGGAGATGGCGCAGAGGAGGACACTTGCGAGCAATAATGGGAGGCTCGCTCTCACAGCGTGGGGGCTCAGAGCAGCAGACACTGGGGCGAATCGGCCATAAAAAGCGGGTTTCTTGCGCGGGGTTCGATTGTTGCAGGCACACGCTGAGACGGCGAGGCCCCAGCAGACGGGCGCGGAGACTTCGAGACCGTGCACCGGAGCCGGCATCAGTCCAGGGCCTCTGCCTGTTCGGGTGTTGCTGGAAGTGCCCCTGGCCCAGCGTGCCACCCAGCTTTTCGCTTCCTTGTGGGCCCCAGGGGACCCAACATGAAGCGAAAAGCTGGGGGGCACGCTGGGCCAGGGGCACTTCCAGCAACACCCGACCCGTGGAGGAGGACGAGGGGGGCGAGGACGATAGGGGCCTCCTCGCCGCCGGCCCGTGCGCTTCGGGGCTGGCTGTCGCCCTGGGCGGCTTCGGAGTCTGCCCTCCTCCTCCTCCTCCTCCTCCTCCCCCCTCCTCCTCCTCCTCCTCCCTCCTCCTCCTCCTCCTCCTGGGCGGCTCCGTGCGCACCTTATGGGTATCCCTGCCTCCCTGCTGGAATACACCCTCCCTCCAAGCTCCCTCTTCACGGGCCCCTGGGTCGGCCCATGTTCATTGAGGGATCTGCCTCGCTGGAAGACGACCGTTCGGAGACCCTGAAACGTGCCAAGCCTTTGTTCTCGGGATTCCAACGCTACAGATCTACCTGACTGTTGCGTCTTGACGGTCCTGAATATTGCCAGAACGCCATTCCCAGGACTTCATCCAACACAGCGAATTAACGTAACAGGTGCACCCGCAAAATCAGGAATCGTTCCATAACACCATTTCTGGTACGTTAATGATGGGAACCCATGAATCCCTGACAAAGTTTGTAAACGAATGTGGCGACGCTAAAGCGAGAGCCACATGTTGAGAAGGAACCGCCCTCAATCCGTGAAATTCTGGCAATTGTTTGCAAAGGATGTGCGCGGCGCTACGGCGAGAGCCACATGTTGAAAATGACCGCCCTCAATCCGTGAAGCTTTTGCATTTTTTACAGCGGATGCGCGCCGCGCTAAGGCGAGAGCCACATTCTGAAAATGGGTCGCCCTCAATCCGCGAAGCTTTTGTATGTTTAAAACGAATGCGCGCCGCGCTAAGGCGAGAGCCACATTTTGAAAACCACCCGCCCTCATTAAGTGAACCTCTTGCAAATGTTGAAAACGAATGTGCGCCGCGCACAAGGCGAGAGCCACATGTTGAAAACGATCCAGGAGGCGGAGGAGGAGGAGGAGGAGGGGTAGGAGGAGGAGTAGGAGGAGGAGGAGGAGAAGGAGGAGGAGGAGAAGGAGGAGGAGGAGGAGGAGGAGGAAGAGGAAGCGGAGGAGGCAAGACTAGACCTAAGAAGGTCATGCACGACGAATTCACGACACGGGACCCCTCAGGATCCCTCCTTAGCGTAGGCCGAGCCTGGGTTTAACCCCAGGCTCTGCCCACGCCGACCTGGGCCATGAAGTCCGCCTCCAGGCCGAAGGCGGCGTCCATGACGTGCTCAGCCCCCGCTCGCCGCGCCCGCCGCTGCGTCCCCAGGGGCGCGCGGGCCGCGGCAGCGTCCCGAACTGCCTGCCGCCTCGCCCGCAACCGCCTCCACGCCGAATGCTCGCCCGAGATCGTTTATATATTGGGGCCGAAGTACGACCTATTGGCGGCGTCGTACCGCAACGCTGGAGGAGGAGGAGGAGGAGGAGGAGGAGGAGGCGGAGGAGGAGGAGGAGGTGTAGGAGGAGGAGGAGGAGGAAGAGGAGGAGAGAAGGAGGAGGAGGAGGCGGAGGTGGAGGAGGAGGGGAGGAGGAGGAGGAGGAGGAGGAGGGAGGAAGAGGAGAGGAGGAGGAGGAGGAGGAGGAGGAGGAGGAGGAGGAGGAGGAGGAGCAGGAGGAGCAGGAAGAGGAGGAGGAGGAGGAGGAGGAGGAGGAGGAGGAGGAGGAGGAGGAGGAGGAGGAGGAGGAGGAGGAGGAGGAGGAGGAGGAGGAGGAGGAGTCTAACCAACCAGGGAGAGCGGGGGTGGAGGGGGAGGAGGAGCAGCAGCAGGAACAGCAGGAGGAGAATGAACAGCAGGAGGAAGAGGACGGTGTGACCCGATCCCCCTTCTCCCTCTCCGCGTTTGTGTCCCATGCCCGCTCCCCCCCCCCCCCCCCCGGTGTCCTCGGCTGCCATCGCCTCCGCTCATCCGCTTGGGAAGGAGTCCCCCAGAGCAGCCCGAGATCCCCCTGCAAGCCCCTGGAGGCGCTCAGAGAGTCACCTCAAACACCTTTCAGAACCCCCGTGTGGCCTCACCTCTTGCCCCTCCCTCTCCCCGCGACCAGCTCTCCCTCTCCTCAGCCTTTTCGGTCAGTGCCCCCCCCCCCCATACGTATTGTGTGATGTCCAGCCGCACAAGGGCAGTGATGCCAGCCGTCGCGACCACAGAGCTCTGTGAAACACCCATGCCTGCGTCCATCCTCCCTCCTCCTCTGCAGTGCCCTTCGGTGGTCGTGGCCAGCCATCATAACATGCCTGTAGATCTCACGGCGCAGCAGGCTTTCACAGCGTGAGCCTCATACGAATTCGTCTCAGCAGGTGGCCAGTCCAGCACCCCGCCTCCTCAACCTCCCGGAGGTCGCGCAGGGGGCTCGCCCCTCTCGGGCTCCGGCCTCGGCTGGTCGACGTTGACCGCGCAGTCGCTCCTCGCCCTCGCACGCGAGATTCGAGCCGCTTGGGTGCGGCGGCGGTGCCAGCGCGGGTGCTCACGGTCGAGGCCGAGCAACCCTTTGGGGGCCAGTCTCGGGCCCCGGCGCCGGCAGACAGCAGCGCGAACTCCATACGAACGATGGCGTCGAAGAGCCGCCTGGGATTTCTAGACCTCGGGATCCCAGACCCCCTCCTGCCATGAAGCAACCACGGCCGAAGGTTTTCTTACTTTTCGCCATCTGGCGGCCCTTGCTGAGCCTCGGGCCCGTCATACAACGACTCAGGATGAAAGAACTGATCCGGGGGAGCGACACCTCTGGGGTCGACGTCATGAAAGATAACGACGTCGGGGGTCTGGGATGGTTCAGCGTCGAATGGCTCGCGCGGTGTCAGAGGCCAGGCCCCACGTCATGAAGGCAGGCACCCGCCGTGCCTGGTCGGGCTCTCACATGCCATCGCACGCTGTCGTGTGGGCGAACCTGGCGAGATGTCGACGGGCAGAGGCCCCGGGCAAGCGGCAGAGCAAATCTGCCGGTTGAGAGGTGTGCCAAGTGAGGGCGCCGCTGCATGCCGAACGTTGTCGTGTCCGATGTCCGATCCCTGTGCTGAGCTGATGGCGCAGGGACGCGGATGGAGGCCACGCCTGAGGCAGGTTGCAGCCCCATGCGGGCCGCGGCGGAGGGGTGAGGAGGAGGGAGGAGGGAGGAGGGAGGAGGGAGGAGGGAGGAGGGAGGAGGGAGGAGGGAGGAGGGAGGAGGGAGGAGGAGGAGGAGGAGGAGGAGGAGGAGGAGGAGGAGGAGGAGGAGGAGGAGGAGGAGGAGGAGGGAGGAGGAGGAGGAGGAGGAGCCGAGCGAAATTGGCGTTCTCGCAGAAAGAGTTCAACATGCGTCCGCAGTTGGCATATATCTCGGCGGCGCGCGCCGAGGGGGAAAGGGGCAGAGGGGGGGGCGGGCCTTCTCGGAAGGCTCCCTCCTCCTCCTCCTCCTCCTCCTCCTCCTCCTCCCTCCCTTCCTCCTCCCTCCTCTCCTCCCTCCTCCTCTCCTCCTCCCCCTCCTCCTCCTCTCCTCCTCCTCCTCTCTCCTCCTCCTCCTCCTTGCTTCTCCTCCTCCTCCTCCTCCTCCTCCTCCTCCTCCCCTCCGCCCTCCTCCGCCTCCTCCTCCTCCTCCTCCTCCTCCTGCCTCCTCCCCCTCCTCCCTCCTCCCTGCTCCTCCTTTTTCTCCTCCTCCTCCTTCTCCTCCTCGTCCTCCTCCTCCTCCTCCTCTCCGGCCCTCTGATCAACCTCTCAAGCCGTCCCCGAGACCACAGAGGGCTTCTCAGCAGGGCGGAGGGCTTCTGTGAAGCCCGGCCGCCTTCTGGGAGGGCCCGCCTGGCGATTCGTCGCTCACGTCTTCCGTCGAGGAAATGGGAGAGCAGGGCTATCCATGATCCGATCGGTTCGATGGCGCGTGCCGATGTCTGCGCGCGGCATCGATCGATTCGACTGCGCCCCTCCTGGTGTCGATTCCCCTCCTGCACGGATGGGATTCGATTTGGTCGATCTGAGCTTCGCACTGCGGGCGGTTCTCGGATCAGAAAAACATCATGGACAGGTGCGGAGGAGGAGGAGGAGGAGGAGGAGGAGGAGGAGGAGGAGGAGGAGGAGGAGGAGGAGGAGAAGGGAGGAGGAGGAGGAGGAGGAGGAGGAGAGGAGGAGGAGGAGAGAGGGAGGGGAGAGGAGGAGGAGGAGGAGGAGGAGGAGGAGGAGGAGGAGGAGGAGGAGGAGGAGAAGGGAGGAGGAGGAGGATTTCGCAGGTGCGCGCAGATTTCTAAGATCGGCGCAGGGCCCCCCTTGACGGCGCCTCGGGCGCCGCGCCCTGCGCGGCTCCGCGTGCCGGTGGGGGTGGGCCCAAGCATCAGTTCGGGCCTGTCCCCCTACAGGAGGAATCTTCAAACATACTCAAACATACTCTGGGGACTATATTTTGAATATTTGTTGACCATTTCTCTACAATCCTTTATTTTTCGTCCAACATCCGCCTGTAGGGGGACATGCCCGACCTAACTCAAGCATGGATGCAGGAAATCCGCGCGGACCTCCGACAGTTTATGCTCATGCCCGTTTTCACCCCAGAGAGCGACATGCAAGACAGGCGATTCGAGCGATCTGCGCACTGAGGGCAGCCCTGGCGCCCGCCCCGGGATGAGCAGGTCACGCCCAAGCAGTGGCGCATCCCCATGCGGGCCGCGGCGGAGGGGATGTTCGACCTGGGGTACACGTACGCAGCGTTCTCCGCCACCGTGCCCGGTGTGTTCGTGCGCGGGGATACGCGGGCCCGCGTGAGGGCGAGGAGGGAGGAGGGAGGAGTAGGAATGAGGAGGAGGATGAGCAGGAGGAGGAGGAGGAGGAGAAGGAGGAGGGGGTAGGGGGAGGGAGAGGAGCATGGAGGGGGAAAGGAGGAGCGAGGGAAGGAGGAGAAGGAGCTTGATCGGGAGGCAATAGGACTACGAAGAGAATCCCCAGCAGAGGGATGAGGATGATACCGATGAGATGGTGTAGGGAGGCAGTCGGGGATTATGATGGTGATGATAGTGATGGTGATGGTGATAGTGATGATGATGATGTCGATTATTCTGATGAGGAGGAGGGTGAGGATGATGATGAGGATGAGGGTGGTGATGCTGTCGTCGACGACGACGATGGCGACGACGACGACGATGATGATGATGACCATGATGATTATGGTGGCGGTGGTGATGAGGATGAGGATAGCGATTCAAGTGATGGTGATGGTGATAGCGATGATGATGCCGATACTGCTGATACTGATGATGATACTGCGGCCGATGATGATACTGTTTGCGATAATGAGTATGATCATGATAATGATGCCTGTGACGCTGATGATGGTGATGATGATGAATGATGATGCTGCTGACGACGATGATGATGGTGGTGATAATGATGATGATGATTATGATGATGACGATGATGAGGATTGTGGTGATGATCCCGTTGATGATGATGACGATGGTGATGATGTGGAGGAGAAGGAGGAGGAGGAGACAGTCGAGGAGGAGTATTATTATGACGACACGGATTACGATGATAATGAATATGCTGCTGATGATGACGAGGGTTTCGATAATTGTGCTAACGATGATGATGCTGCTGATGCTGCTGCTGATGATGATGATGCTGACGATGGTGGTGATGATTGTGATGATGATGCTGCTGCTGATGATGATGCTCATGATGATGATCATGATGACGCTGCTGCTGCTGATTCTGATGATGCTGGTAATGCTGATGGGGATGATTATGGCGATTATCAGGATGCTGGCGGTGCTGATGATGCCGATGCGAATTATGATGATGCTGCTGCCACTGATGATGATGATTAGGATGAGTACGATGATTGTGGCACTGATCATGCTGATGCTGGTGATGATGATGATGCTGGTGATGGTTATGGTGATTGTGTTGGTGATGATGATGATGGTACATAGTGATGATACTGATGACGAGTATGATTGTGATGGTGATGCTTATGACGATGAGGTCGACATGTTGGGCGACGATGACGATGAGGATTATGATGCTGCTGTCGGTGATGATGGTGAAGAAGGCGATGTTGATGAAGCTGATGATGATGATGATGATGATGATGATGATGATGATGATGATGATGGGGTTGATGATGATGCTGTTGATCATTTTCATGATTATGCTGCTGCTGATGATGATGACGAGGAGTAGAAGGAGGAGGACGGTGGCAGCATAATGAGGACTATATGTGAGGAGGAGAAGGAGGAGGACGAGGAGGAGGAGGATGAGGTGTAGGAGGAGGCAGAGGAGGAGGAGACGGGAGGAGGAGGTTGAGGAGGAGGGGAATGGACCGTAGTCGCCCAGTATGTAGCAACGATGTTTCAATACGGCATGTCGTCTCAAGTTCCCGCTTCATGAGTCATTAAATCAGTTCTTGGTCATTGCCCGAAACACCCCCTTGAACGGCAGGGCTCCATTTGGCCAACCATTTTGGCGGGAACCCTGTGTTGTAGAAAAACTACCCTCCACGCTTCGAGCTGGAAGGAACGCAGCAAAGTGAGAGCAGAAAGCTGGATGAGGTCTCCAGCCCCAGCCTCGCTTTGAGAAGGGCCTGCCCTCCGTCCGTGTCATTGATTCAGATGTCTGCTCACGTAAACCGGTTTGCAGACCGCCAGCCCTGCATCTGTTCATCTGCTCGGAACTTCAAGCTCCAAGGGCGTAAACGGTGCGGAGCTCTCAGGCGAAACTCCCGACCCACCCTTTAATTCCACGCCTGGTGGCGCAATAGGGAGGAGTTGTCCATAAGGCAATGATATGGAGGAGGAGAAACATGTTACGCTATATCGGTCGGCCTACTCCTCCCGCCCAACCCGTCCCAACGCGTTGAATTCTTTACAATCCGCGGACTGGGGTGTCCTAGAGGACCTTGATTCCCCAAGTGACCCAGTCGGGTGAAGCGCAATGAGAAGGGGGGCCGTGCTCACTTGATGGAGGAGGAGAAGGAGCAGGAGTAGGAGCAGGACGTGGTGGTGAACGAGCAGGAGGCTGAGCTGGAGGAAGAGGAGTACGACGAGGCAGGAGGAGTTGGGGTCAGCAGCACCACTAGCAGGAGGAGGAGGAGGAGTCCTCGAGAAGCTGGCTCTGAAGCGGCCGTTGCATGCTCTGGGGAAGCCGGCGCGCGCGCGACCCGCGGCGGGGTCGCTCAGAAAGACCACGTTGCCGCTGTCGAGGCGGTGGCCGAGTGATTCCTGAAATAAGGATTACTCTAACAGGCAGCAGGGGGAGGGAGGACCGAGGGATTCCCGAAATAAGGATATTACTCAGCGAGCGTCAGCAGGGCGCGGGGGAGGGAGGACCGAGGGATTCCTGCAGTAAGGATTACTTCTGGCATCGGGAGGGGGCTGCAGGAACTTTTCTGCGTGGCCGAGGCTCGCCAGAGCCTGCACGGCCCCTTTCGTTCGTGGTGTGTTCCTCGCGGTGGCTCGATGGCGGTGGCCACACCTTTCGAGCTTCCCCGAGCGAGTGCCCAGCAGGAGGAGCAGAAGGAGCAGGGGAGTGCGGCGGAGGAGGAGAGGAGGAGGATACTGGCGGATTACACAGCCTTGAGGGTGGCTGGCCCCTGTGCGAGTTGGCACCGTAAGGGGCGTTACTTCTCGGTGGTGTCTGATGCAGCCACCAACCGAGAGGTGCTCGCGTGCTGCCTCTGTCCGAGGGCGCCGAAAAGACGGCCGCCTTTCGAGAGACACCTGTGACCGGTGGTGAGACCCTTTGGGAGTGGGTTTGCCTGCTCGGGCAAGCAATGGAAATGAAATGGTCGTCAGTTGGGCGAGTGCGCTGGGGTCTCCAGCGAAAGCCTGGGGTGGGAAGGCAGGTGGGATATCGGGTAGCGGAGAGGAATGCGATGATGGATGACACATAGGTTGGGGGGTGACATCGCAGAGGAAATGAGAACGATAGTGAGACCGATAGAAGGAACAAATCAGCAGCAGGAAGCACGCATCAGACAGCGAAGACCGAATCGAGAATGTACGAGAAGATGGGGGCGGCGAAATCGAGTTCAGGGGCGCAGGGATGCGTGCAACTCCCCGCCTGTGAGCCGAGCGGTTGATTGGACACAAGAATGGGTTTCCCGCTGTCCAGGCGACCAGAGAAAAAAAATGAGTGAGTGGCACGGGGGAGTAGACGCGAAGCTTGGACACCCGATTTGGGGTTGCAAGATAACCGTGCCACAAGTAACGCTATGCGAAGTCGCGCAAGGTACGGGTGATACTGTGGCGCAAGCTATCTCGCCCGGCCATCGCCCTTGTATCTTGGTTTGAGTGTTGGACGGCCCTGAAGGGCATTCCATGGGCTGATCAATGGGCGAGCCACACACACAAGTGTAAGGGTTGGGCGGCCTGTTGAGAGGCTACTGGAGGGCATTCCATGGGCGGGAACGTGGGCGAGACACATGCGTATTAGAGTGTTGAACGGCCCTGAACGTCATTCCGCGGGCGGATGCACGGGCGAGCCACGCACAGCGTGGTAAATGCCACGGGGACGGCACGCCGTGACACGCTTTCGCGAGAAGGAGGAGCCGGGCCGTGCCTGATGAAATGCCCTCCAGGTTCGATGGGAAGCCGGAAATGGTCTACTTGCACAACCGTTAGGACCGAATGCAAGATGGACGAGTGGCCCGACAGATAAAGTGAAAGCGGCAATGGGATCAACGGGTTCAAATATGAAGCGGCACTGTCGGGTGCCCGTCAATGGGGTAGCCGGATGGTCATGGATGATGGGGCAACGGGCATGGAAGAAAGAGGCATGAAAAGAGAAGGAGGGGGAGGAGGAGGAGCAGGAGGAAGAGGACCAGGAGCAAGGCACACAGCGAGAGAGAGAGAGAGAAGAAGAGAGGGAGAGAGAAAGAGAAAGAGAGCGAGCGGGAAGCAATAACAGGGAGACAACAGGGGAAACGGGACCACAGCGAGGCCAGGAAAGATGGGGTCGCTGTGGTGGAGAAACGGATGAGGGGGTGGCTGTGGCGCCCCAGCTTCCTGGCCTTTGAAGGCTAGTGATAAACGCTTGGCTCAAGATGACAGCGTGCATGGAAGCGGGCGAACAGATAAAGGTGTTGAGCGAATCTCATGTGAAGGAGGGGGCGGGTAACTGGGAAGACAGAGGACAAAGGAAGCAGGGACGGAAGCAGTAGTAAGCCGGCATAAGAAAATGGCGCCCAGCAAATGGACGGGGGAGGGGCGGGTTGGTTAGAGCCTTGCCGTAGGCGCTGCCGACCTCTTCGGTCACTCGGCTGGGACAGAGCCAAGTCGACCAGGCCGTCGCGGGTAAATGCCAAGTAGCGTGGGGAGTTTGGGAGGATCAGATATGGACGTGGGATCTCAAACGGCCCCCGCAGGGCCCCAGAAGCGCCCCAGGAGAGCCCCAAGAGCGCTCCAAGAGGGCCCCAAGACGGCCTGAAATTTAACAGAAATTTGACAGAACGCGCTCTCCAACAACGAGGCGTTTTCTGTTAAATTTCTGTTGAATTCTATGCCCTTTTGGGGGCCTGGGGGCCTCTCAGGGCCCTGAAACGGCTCCCGCAAGGCCCCAGGAGGGCCTCAAGAGCGCTCCAAGAGGGCTCCCAGAGGGCCAGAAATTTAACACGAGCTCTGCAATCGGACAGATGCTGAAAGCGTAATGGTAATTCATAGCACAGCTTGCGTAAGCATACGATTTTGGGTGTACCGGTCCATCCGTCCGGTACCGGCCCAAGGGTATCACCTTGTACCGGCTCTTGCGGCCTCTCTGTAGGAAAGTACACACGAAGGAGGGAGAAGATACCCGGAGCTCGGCACTCCTTCCACTGATGCGAAACTGCTCCACAGACGGGCGTCCGAATGAACAAGTAGACACCTTTGGAGAGCTGCGAAGCAAAATTAATACCACCGCAAGAAGGAGCGCCGCAGGAATGGAAAAGCAGGAAGACAAGGGAATAACAAGGAAACAGGGGAAACAAAAGGCGAAACAGGACGGGGCAGCAGATAGAGGGAAGAAGAGAAGAGGGAAGACGGGGCAAGCGAACAACCCAGGCAACAAATAAATTCAATATCCCAAGTTGGGCACGTCGGCAACTTCCTGCGGGGGAAAGTAATTTCGCCCCGCGGGGAGGTAGGCCCGAGCCTATTGGAAAGACGGGGGTAGCGGGATGAGCTGGGAGAGAGCAAGGGCACCGGGGTAGCACAATGGCAAAGAAGGATGGGGTAGCAGCGGTGGAAGCAGGATGAAGGATGGAGCGCTGGTGTCGCCCCAGCTCCCTAGCCTTAGGGGGCTTGTGAGGGTGCTCGTCGAGAGTGCCCGAGCAGCACTCTCTTACCAGCGCCCCGTGCGTCCCTCACAAGAATCGACCCCGAAGGATGCGGGTAGCCTTTGGCACGGGGGAGGAGAGGAGGAGGAGGAGGAGAAGGAGGAGGAGGAGGACGAGGAGGAGGAGGAGCAGAGGAGGAGCTGGAGGGCCAGGGGAGTGCGGAGGAGGGGGGAAGGAGGGGGGGGGGCAGCGGCGGGGAAGGAATCGGATCCAGAAGTGCGGGCCGCGCTGGGGCGAGAGCGCCAGACTGAACGGCACGCTTCCCGGCGCTGCGGCGGGAACGCCATTCCGAAGGACCGGGAAGGTTCTAATGGAAAGCCGGGCACTTGGATTGCCAAATCATGGAACCTTGAGCTCGCAAGCGATGCGTGAGAGAGAGCACGCTGGCCCACGATCAGGGAAGAGAGCAGCAGGGGTATCACATCGAGTCGCTAAGTGTGGGGGAAGATAATGAAGAGGATGAGAAGCAGGAGGATGAGGATGAGAAGGAGGATGGGGGAGTCATCCCCCCCTCGTTGACCAGTTGGGCGCATACTCTATGTCTTAGCGGGCCTTTGCGCTGCTCGTTTTGTTCCCAACCATCCTGTGGTGTTGGGTCCTCGTTTTAAGAAGAGAGGGCGCCCCGCGTTCACTCCATCCTTCCTTCCGCTGCCCCTCCCTCCTTCCATTCTGCGTCCTCATCGTCATCGTCATTATCATCGTCATCACCGTCGTCATCATCGTCGCCATCACCATCATCCATATCATCATCCCCCCTTCCTCCCTCCGCCTCCTTCACATCGTCATCATGATCCTCCTCCTCCTCCTCCTCATCATCATCATCATCATCAGTATCATCATCATCGTCGTAATCAGGATCATGAGTATGATCATTGTCATCATCATCCGCATCACCACCACCTCCATAATCATCATCAGCATCACCGTCTTCGTCACCAGCGTCAGTATCATCACCATCAGCGTCATCATCATCATCACCAGCATCAACGGCGCCATCATCGTCATCATCGTCATCACTATCACAATCATAATCAGCACCATCGTCAGCATCACAATCATCATTGTCATCATGACCAGTATGAACACAATCATCACCACCGTCATCATCATCATCATCATCATCATCATCATCATCCGTATTGTCAGCATCAGCGTCATCATCACCAGTATCATCATCATCACCATCATCTTCGTCGTCGTCAACATCATCACCATCGCCGTCACCATCAGCATCGTCGCCATCATCACATTATCACATCATCATAATCACAATCATCATCATCTTCATCACCTTCACTGTCATCGCCATCAGCATCGGAATCATCAGCACCATACTCATCATCCTCATCATCGTCAGCATCACCTTCGTCCGCAGCATCATCATCATCACCAGCAGCACCATCACCATCATCATCATCATCATCATCGTCGTCATCATCATTATCACCATCATCGTCAGCATCATCATCATCATCATCATCGTCATCATCATCATCATCACCATCCTCATCATCTTCAGCATCAGTATCATCATACGCACCATCATTGTCACCATCATCATCATGATCGTCATCACAATCATCATCATCATGATCATGGCCATGAACATGATCATCATCATCACCACCATTATCATCATCAACACCACCACCACCACCATCATCATCATCATCATCATCATCATCATCTTCATCATCGACATCATCGTTCTCCTCCTACTCCTCCTCCTCCTCCTCCTCATCATCATCATCATCATCATCATCATCATCGCCATTGTCGGCACCGTGCTTTTGCTTTCCGCGTGTGCGCCATTTCGGCGCACCTCTCGCACGCTTCGTGGCCCTAGTGAGAGAGTTTCACTGAAGGCTCCAGTGGCAGGGTCCGCATGCGTCCCTCCACCCATTTCGACACAGCCCTCACACGCTTCGTGGCCCCATAGGGAGCTCCACCGAAGGCCCCAGTGGCAGAGTCCGCATACGTCACACCGCCAATTTCGGTACACCCTTCGCACAGTTCGTGGCCCCACAGAGAGCCTCACCGAAGGCCCCAGTGGCAGGGTCCGCACGCGTACGCGCAGTTCGGCACGCCACTCGCACGGACCGTGGGGCCCCATAGGGAGCTTCACCGAAGGCTCCAGTGGCAGGGTCCGTATGCGTTCCCCCGCCCATTTCGGCACACCACTCACAGCTTGTGTGGCCACTCTGGGGGCTCCACCGAAGGTCCCAGTGGCAGGGTCTGCATGCGTCCCCCCGAGCATATCGGTACAGCCTTCACACGCTCCGTGGCCCTATAGGGAGCTCCACCGACGGCCCCGGTGGCCGGGTCCGAATGCGTCCCCCCGCCTGTGTCGGCTCACCCCTCAGACGCTTCGTGGCCCCGTAGAGGGCTCCGCTGAAGCTCTCAGTGGCAGGGCCCGCATACGTACCCCCGCCCCTTTCGGCACACCCCTCACCACCGAAGGTCCCAGTTGCAGGTCTGCGTGCGCCCCCTCGCCCATGTCGGCACACCCCTCACACGCTTCCTGGCGCCACGAGGAGCTTCAGGAACCGGTAGTGAATCGCGCGCGAGGAAGTCTCGGGCGGGAACCCTCGTAGTATGAGCCTTGCAGCTGCATGTAGTCGCAGCTGCATATGGCGGGGTCCCTTGTCAGGATGATCCTCACTATACCCTTGTCAGGATGATCCTCACTACACTCGGCTTTTATCCTGCTGCGCCCACACAGAGGTCGAACTTCTAGGCCACCGCGCCTGCATCTGTTTAAGTTTTTTTTTGCGTGATCCACACGGGCGTTGCGAGCCTTCGTGCTTACAGCCTGGCCACCTTCGTCAAAAGGGGGGAGGAGGAGGAGACGGGGGGAGGAGGAGGAGGACGAACGCCCGCCCGCCGACCTCTCTTTGCAAGTTACACCCTGTGGATCCTGCTCTCCCCTCTCTCCCCTGGCTCTGTCTGGAAGATAGCCTGCCCCCCCCGCGTATTGCCTTTACCCACAGAGTTTCAAGCATTGGAATTCTGTTTTAGGGTTTACAGTGCGCTTGTCTGCGCTGCCTCATAGTGGTGCTCCAGCTGCAGCGCGGGCCTCAGGTTTGCTCGGCGTCTTGCTCCCGTCATTCAGTTTTGCGCTCTCTCCCTGGTGCGGGTCTCTGTTCTGGGTCCGAGTCCTTTTTCACCGTTGTCGCCCCCCTCACGTATCCTCCTCCGCCTTTCCTGGTCTTCCTGCTCCTCCCTCTCCGTCCACTCCAGCTTCTGCTACTGCTGCTGTTCGTCCTCGTCCTCTTTCCTCATCCTCCTTCTGTTCCTCCTGCTGATCCTCCTGCTTATCCACCACCTCCTCGTCCAGTGTGCGCAGCTCCCTTTTTTTGCTCCGATTGCGCATAACACTATGGGGCCCTCTTCGGAGTTCCAGGTCCGCCAGGACACGCGTTGGCGGATAGAGAACACCGCAACGGGAAGGGATGTGTGGGAGGGGCAGAGTGTCAGGTATGGCGCGAGCGCGCCTGGCTTGTCCCCGCCCGCCTCTCCTGCCTTCTGCCGCCGCGCTCAGGTTCCTCGCCGCGTGCAAGGACGCCTACCTGATAGAATTGGACTGGCAGAGGCTGATGATCGTCACCTGCATCCCTCCCGGGAGGGCGACGGGGGGGCCAGCTCTCTCTCGCGGCAGTCCTCGCACGGTGCGGTGGCCACACCGTCTGGTGAGCCCGTGGGGAGTCGGGGCCACCGCGCGGCTTTGGGGCCCGGGGTCGTTCTCCGGGGACGTGTCGGGCGACTGGGGCCTCCAGGGCCCCAAGGACCGTTTGGTGACGCACCGCGCGGTGAGGTCCTTGGGGATCCCGAGGTCAACACCACGGTTTTGGGACCCCCAAGGCTCCTGTGGGGGCGCAGGTAGGGGTATTCGGCCCCGGGGGCGGAAACATGGACTCCGAGTCGCCCCTGCGTCGCCGATCGGGGGCCTCGGGTGCTCCCGGAACGTGCCGCCTGGCCGTCGGGTGCCCGTCTCCGTGCTGCCGGCGATGCGCCGCCGGCCCCGGCCGGGTCCGCTGAGCCCGTGCCCCCCTCGCATGGGAGGCCAGCGGTTCCAGGTCTCCTGGCCTCCTGCGGAGTCGGGGTCCTCGTTGTCCAGTCCGCGGCGCCGCGCGCACGCCTGCCTCCGGCCTCCCGCCCCGCTCCGCCCTCTCCCCTGCCGCTGCCGAGCACGCCCGCCAGTGGACGGTGACCCACGGGGAGCTCTGTTGGCTGCTCCAGTGCAGCTGTCCTCGTCCGCCCCCTCGCCCACTTCGGCCCTCGGACTGTGCCTCGGCATCGCTCGGACGTGTGCTTTTTTTCTCGGCGAGAACCATCGAGGACCATCCTGGACCATCGAGCAAAAAAAACACGCACGAAACCGACACATGCACGGGACATGGACGTCCGAGCGACGGCAAGGTGCCCCCACCGGGAGCTCCGCCAGCGGCCCTGCGCGCCCCACCTGCGCATCCTGGCACGCACACGCGGACCGTGCCCCACGGGGAGCTCTGTCCGCGGCCCCCCAGCGCGGGGCTCCGCCTGCGCCCCCTCGCCCACTCTCCGGCACGGCTCTCCGCGCCGGTCGCGCCCCACGGGGGAGGCCGTCGCCGAGGACCTCGGCCGCAGGGTGTGCGCGGCTGCTGGGGCTGACGCCTCGGGGTCGGCTGCTCTCTCCTCGGCCGGGTTCTCGGGACTGTCCCGCCCGCGGACGGGGAGGAGGAGGGACGGAGGGTCGCGGAGAAGGAGTATAGCAGAGGACTTGGACGAAGAAGGGATGATGATGACGATGATGATGATGATGATGATGATGATGATGATGATGATGATGATGATGATGATGATGATGATGATGATGATGATGATGATGATGTGATGATGATGATGATGATGATGATGCTGATGATCCCCCTCCTGCGGACGACGCGCTCCTCGCACAGCCGCCGCAAGCCGCCCAAGGCCCGCCACCCCTCCGGGCGCGGCTGCCCTGGCCAGCGCACGTCACGAGCGGGAGCGGACCTCACCGCTCTGGACCCGCGCGGGAGCAGCCCTCACCGCGCCGGCCTCGCCTCCCGCTCAGCGTCGTGAGCGGCTGCGCTGGCGCCCGCGCAGCGCCTCGGGCTCCCCGAGCCAGCCCGTCTGCGTCTGGTGCAGCCCGCGCCGCAGGCGGCGGAGGACGTCCGCCTGCCTGTCGGACGTCGCGCGGCGCAGGCACGGCTCCGCCAGGCCCATGACCCTCGCCGACGCCGCGCTGCAGCCGCACACGTTGCAGAACACGCGCGGCCCCGCCACGTAGAGCACGTGCGTGTCGTGGATGGCCGCATTCCGCCACGGCGGCCTCGGCGGGGGAGGCACGGCCGCCGCCTGGCCGCCGCCTCCAGCAGCCGCGCCAGCGGCAGGCGCAGCAGCCTGCGCGGCGCCACGCCCGCGTCCGCGGCCGCGGCCGCGGCCCCCGCGGGCCCGAGCGAGGGCGGCGGCGGCGGGCGCAGGACCAGGCTCGGCGGCCCCCGCGGCCGCACCAGCAGCACGCCCACTGGCCCCTGGGGCGCCCCCGGCGGCAGCCCGCCCGGCGGCCTGGTCCCCGACGTCTGCCGCGTCGCTCCCGCCCGCGCGGCGCGTGGCCGAGTCGGGCCTGGACTCGGCCAATTCCCGCGCGGGCGGCGGCGCCCGTCCTCGGGCTGGGGTGCCGGCGGCCGCGCCGTGCGCCACCCGCGGGGCCGCGCCAGCAGAACCAGCCGAAAGCGGGGCGGCCGCGGCGCTCTCCCCGCCTTGCGTCAGCCGCGGGGTCTTGCCAGCAGCGGGCGCTGCCCCGTCGCCGACGGAGGCGCCCTGGGATGCGCCGGGCGCTGGGCCCTCAGCGGCGGCCTCGTCGACCTCGTCGCCGCCGCCCGCCAGCGGCCTGGGTCGCCAGCGCCGCCCCGACGGCCGCCACCGCGATGGCCGCCGCCGCCGCGCTGCCCGCCTGGCCGCCGCCGCCGCTGACAGCCGCCCGGCCGCCCTGGATCGCCACCCCGTCGTCGGCGCACTCCCAGCAGCTCCAGCGCACGCCTCCAGCCATCTCCAAGGCCGTGCCGTGGCGGTCGCACGCTCGCCCCGCGCACCGCTGGCCCTGTACGCCGCAATCAGCTTTGGGCCTCTGGCGGCAGCCAGGCCAAGCGCATCGGATGGCCTCCAGACCCGGAGCTGCGTAGCCGTCGGGCGCCCTGAGGAGCGAGTCGCCCTCCTGCATGGCCGTGCCAATCCACGAGGTCAGCTCCAGGGCCAGGTCGTCCGCCAGGTCAATGAGGTCGAGCCGCTCTTGCGGGACCGCGTGGAGGCTGGCGCCCTCTTTCGCTCGACCGTCGGCCCTGGCGTTCCCCGCGCGCTGCCGGTCGGAGATGCGCCCCTCGCGGACGTCGTACTCCGTGCAGTGCGCCTTGACCTTCACAACGCCGATGTTGTCGCTGCCGTGGTCCTCGACGAGCCGCCAGAACTGGCGCCACAGCTCGCGATATGCCCTCCTCCATGCAGTGCACCACCGCTTCCCCGCAATCCATCCGTCGTAGACCAGGGGCGAATCCGTGTAAAGGATGATCGGGCCGATGCAATGATGAAGGGCCATGACCGCAGCCTGCAGCTCGTCCGCGCCACTGTCCTGCGGGAGCGGCCACGGCACGTTCCCCCACATGGCAGTGCGCTCGGTGTCATTGGCCCACGTCGTCACCGCGGCCCAGCCCGCTCGAGCCAGCTGGCGGTCGCGGGTGCGCACTGCCGAACCATCCAGGAACACCTCTCGCACCATGACGTCGCCTGGGTGGCTGCCCGCGCGCCTAACGACGATGGTCAGGAAGGGTTGCGGCGCCTCCGACCTCGGATCGGCCAGGAGCCCCCGCGACCATGTGAAATGCTCCTCGCCGTCGCAGGGGGTTGCCGCCTCCGCCTCCTGCAGCACCGCGAAGCTGGGCGACTCCCCGCGCTGGAGGCGGCGCGGTCCATCCAGTGCAGGGCAGCGCCACGCCAAATTCCGCACGGTGCCCGCCTCCTCGCAGCCCCACGGGCAGCGAGCCGAGGACGCGAGCGGCGGGCTCGCCCTCGCGCGCCGCGCAAGAGGAGGAGGAGGAGAAGCAGGGAGAGGAGGAGGAGGAGGAGGAGGGAGAGGAGGGAGAGGAGGGCGAGTGGCGGCGAGTGAGGTGCTGGAGCAGTAGCTTGGAGCAGGAGTATGATGATGATGAGGAGGAGGCGGAGGTGGAGGAGGTGGACCAGTGCATCACAAGCCTGCTCTTCAGGTCCGATCAGCGTCAAACAGCACCAGTTCAAACCCAAGACGCACCAGCGATGTAAACATAAGCCCTTCCTCGAAGCTCCCTCTTCGTAGGCCTTGCCAGAAACCACCCTAGATCTTGCCAGAAACCACCCCTGGGACATCAGTCAGACGAATCCTTGAAGCTGTTGCAAGCTGTCAAGACGAATGTGCGCGGCGCGATGGCGAGAGCCTTTTTTCAAAAGGAACCGCCCTTTCTCCTTGAAGCTTTTGCGCACTTGTAAAAGAATGTGCACAGCCTTAATGCAGTAATGGCATTTTGAAAACCACCTGTCCTCCATATTTGAAGCTGTTGCAAGCTTTTGAGCCGAACGTGTGCGGCGCTCAGGCGCGAGCCACATTCGAAAAGGACCCGCCCTGCATGTGTAGAACTGTTGTAACCTTTCAAGACGAATGTGCGCGGCGCTAGGCGAGAACCGCATTTTGAAAAGGACCCGCCCTCCATGCGGGAAGCGGTTGCGAATTTTCAAGCTTCAGTGTCCGAACTGGTGAGGAAGTCTCAGGCACAACGCCCGACCCGCCCTACCGACACGTCTGGGGGTGCCACAGGGAGGAGTTATTTGCTGAGGACGAGGGATGGAGGAGGAGGAGGAGGAGGAGGAGGAGGAGGAGGAGGAGGAGGACGAGGAGGAGGAGGAGGAGGAGGGGCAGGAGCAGGAGGAGGAGGAGGAGGAAGAGGAGGAGCAGGCGGAGGAGGTGGAGGAGGAGGAGGAGGAAGAGGAGGAGGAGAAGAAGGACGAGGAGGAGGAGGAGGAGGAGGAGGAGGAGGAGGAGGAGGAGAAGGTGGAAGAGCAGGACGAGGACCATGGGCGTGAGCGAGAGGCGACGCAGCAGGAGGGCTAGAAACCTTCGAGAGCCCCCCTCTCCCCCCGCCCCTCCCCACCCTTTGGACGCCCCTGGGCGGGCGGCCGCCCTACCGACACGTCTGGGGGTGCCAAAGGGAGGAGTTATTTGCTGAGGACGAGGGGTGGAGAAGCAGGAAGAGGAGGAGGAGGAGGAGGAGGAGGAGGAGGAGGAGGAGGAGAGGTTGAGGAGGAGCAGGAGCAGGAGCAGGAGCAGGATGAGGAGGAGGAGCAGGGGGAGGAGGAGGAGGAGGAGGAGGAGGAGGGAGAAGAGGAGGACGAGGAGGACGAGGAGGGAGGAGGAGGAGGAGGAGGAGGAGGAGGAGGAGGAGGAGGAGGAGGAGGAGGAGGAGGACGACGAGGACCACGGGCGTGAGCGGGAGGCGACGCGGCAGGAGGGCCCGAAACCTTCGAGAGCCGCCTTCCCCCCCCGCCCCTCCCCACCCTTTGGACGCCCCTGAGCGGGCCGCCCCCGGCCCCCCCCCCCCCTGGCGGGCCGCCCAGGTGCAGGCACGCGCGGCCACACGGGGGGGGGGGCCGCGCCGTGGCTAGAGGCCTCTCACAGGGGGGGTCCGCGCGGAGGGTTTCGGAGGCTCGCGCCGCACCGCCGCTGCGTCGGCGGTGCGGCTCGCCGTGGATCCCGACGTTCTCCGTGCCGGCGTCGCCGATCGCCGCCGAGTCGCGGATGCATCGCTCATGCAGGCGCCGCCACGCGCCGCCGAGTCGCGGAGGCATCGCCGATGCAGCGGCGACGCGTCCGCGAGATGCGGCGCGGGATGTCTTCCGGCACGGTCTGCTCGGATCCCACTTGCCGGGAGGCCTCCACGCGGGGGTGGCGGGCAGGATCCTGGGCCTGGCCGCGGCCGCGTTCCTGCCCGAGTCGCCGGTGTGGCTCGCCAGCAGGGGCGACCACGTGGAGGCGGCGGCGGGCCGGCACAGCGTCCCGCCCCCCCTCCCGGGGCGGCGTCGCCGCGGCAGGGGCTCCATGACGAGGGTGTGCACGATCGAGGTGGGTGCGGAAAGGGGGGCGGAGACTGGCAGCAGATCCTGTGCACGTTGAACAGTGAAACCGTCGCCACAGACGGTGTACATCCCTTCGGTGCAGGGGGGCGGGTGCCCAGTAGCGGCCGCTCTCGGTTGTGTGCAACAGTCGCTTGTGGGCATCGCAGTCGTTTTTCCGTGCCCAATCTTGTCGTGCTAGGATGGGGGAGGCCCTCCGAGAAAGTGAGCGCCTTGCTGGAAGGGGTCGGCCCCTTCGAGGCCGTACGTCCGCGCCTTCGAGGTGTGTGTGTGTGTGTGTGTGTGTGTGCACGTGCGCGTGCTGGCCTATCTAGCTCAGCCACTTTTCTCAACACGCGACTCGCCCTGCGCAGTTCCCCCGTCTGCAGCGCCAGGTGGACCTGACGCCGAGCGTGCCCCGCCGCAGCTCTCGCCGCAGTGACCTCACTCGGCCTGCTGGAGGAACACAAGTGTGCGCATGTGTGTGCGCATGTGAGTGTGTGTGTGTGTGTGTGCGTGCGTGTGCGTGCAGGCTAGCCCCGTTTAGCCCGACAGCCGGTGCAGCAGCCCTGCCTCGCCGCCGACGGAACAACAAAAAACAGGTGTGTCCTTGGGCCTCCGAGGGAGCTGCCCCTCCTCGGCGTGCCCCCCAGCTGCCCGCGCTGTCGCGGGACGGGGCAGACGGTGAGAGAGCAGGCGATTGAGAGAAGCCGGGGGCGGGCGGCAGCCGTGGGCCGCGATGCAGAAGCGTTGTGGGCGAGGATATCTGTTGCCCTCAGCGTAGCACGCAGGGTTGGCGTTGGAAAGACCGCGTGCGATGTGGAGCCGCCAGCCCGCTTGATGCACGCTGTCCCTTACCTAGGGGATAGCGTACATTGAAGATGCCCTGGCAGTGGGATAGTGTTCACAGAAGGGGCCCTCGCGGGAAATCGCCTCTCAGAGATAGCATGCTTCTCGGAGGTCGATGTTGCACGTCTCTCCAACGTCAGCCGTAGCGCATAAAGGCAGGCGCAGGCCTTATGTGTTTCCCACAAAGCAGTCCCACAGTGGTGCAGTCACGCCTCGGGTGCGGCGAGGCTAGTAGGCACAGGTTCAGGGAAGAAGCTGGGTTCCACCATGGAGAAGGCCCACCAAGGTATGTTCTCAGCCCCGATTTCACTGAGCTTTCACGTGCCAATGGTACTTGCCTTGATGTGCAGAATAATTGAATGAATCATGGACTCGTGTCAGAATTCTATGGGGTCCAAAGCACAACTGCTGTTGTATCTACGACTCGTCCTGATCTACCAGCTCTCATCTTCCACCCGCCCCGCGCAGTTCGCTGGCCGAACGCGGATGGGGTGTGGCAGGTTCGCGCCGCCTCGATGCTGCAGCGACGCCAGCGCAGACGCTCAAGATTGAACACCCTGGCGACGGACCTTTCCCCTCCCCTCCCCCCCCCTTACTTCCCCTCCCCTTTCGCCCTGCGCTCTCCGTCCCCGTCCCCTATCCAGACCACCAACCATCAGCACCCCAGCTGGGGACACCCCTCGAGACCCGAAGGGAGCGGCCTACCTCCCCATCCAGCAGGGTAGATCGGCCAGTAGGGCCCAGGCCACGCCCACGTTTTGGGTGCCTCTTGGGGCCGTCTGGGTGCTTCTTGGGGCACTCTTGGGGCGCTCTTGGGAGGATTTAGGGGCGCTTTCGGGGCCATCTAGGAGGAGATGGATCAAAGAAGGGGGTTTCTAATTACGCCACCCCTTTCGGGAACCCCCAAATAAGCCTCCTGGACCACTCCTGGGGCGCTCTTGGAGGGCTCTTGGACGGGGGTCGGTGAAACGATGCTCCCCCGGGGCAGCCAGGGTCGCGCGCCAGGCAGAGGCGGGCCAGTGGCACCTCCGCAGGGCTGCCCCCCCTCCGGCAGGGGGGTCGCCCCGCCCGCTCGGAGGAGTCCCGCTGCCTCTCGGCAGAGGCCTTCGCGGAGGCACTTTTGCCGAGAGGGGGCGCTCCTCCTCCTCCTCCTCCTCCTCCTCCTCCTCCTCCTCCTCCTCCTCCTCCGCCTCCCACTCTGATGAAGGCAAGGCGCAGGGCCATCGCCAAGCACTTCGCGAGAGTGCGGGGGCTGCTGCGCCCATCCTGAGCACCAGCTTCCAGGACGGGCCTGCCCAGAAAGACAGCCGGGCCGGGCCGGGTCGGCAAGTGATTTTTCCCTCCTCCTTCATGGCGTTCACTCCTCCTCCTCCTCCTCCTCGTCGTCGTCTTCTTCCTTCGGGGCGCGCCACGGAGGATCCCAGGCCTGCCCGCGTCGTGAAGAGCACATGTGGCGGGATGTTTTTGTTGGTGGGGCCGTGGGTCACGGCCCCGAGAGGGCCCCCGCCGCGCCCCTGGGATTACGTCGGGCCTATCCCTCCACGGGAAAAATATGCAGACATCGTCGAAGGATAGCCCGGGGGACATTTTTTGGTGATGTGTTGCCCATTTCGGAGTTATTTGTTTACTATTCTTTATTTTTCCTCCAACATCCCCCTGTAGGGGACAGGCCCGACTTAAGCCTGGGACCGTCCAGACGCAAGTCGGGATGGAGAACCGGCCCGGGGGAGAGGGCGGTCGGGACTCTGATCGGGGGTTGCTACAGGCACCCCTGGCCCAAGGTCCTCAAGCCGTGGCGAAGCGTCCTGGCTCGCCTACATAGGCCTACCAAAGAATGTTCTAAGATCATGTTGTGATCTCCATGAAATGTTCTTGGAACATTTCTGGCTGGGGCTGTCTTGTGTTGACACATCGGGCGTATGTTCTAAGAACGTTGTTTTTGTGATTCGAACATGTTGTTGGGTTCTAAGTCTGTTTCGGGGTAGGCCTATAGAAGTGCCGGGACGGTCGGTCCCTGCTCAACAGGTGCCCCCAGCCGTTCGCTCAATGTTCACCCCCCTGGGGCCCTTCTGGCCTCATGAGGGGTGCTCTGGAGGCCGTCGGGGCTGGGGGCACTTCTAGCAACGCCCCATGTGGGGACGCCGCTTGTCGATATAAGAGCACATTGGATGTCGTTTGTGTCGTCATCCGTAGGGCTTCGCCCCCCTGCCGCCGGCCCACTCTCTCGGATAATGGAGCATGCGGGAGTTATGTTGTGAGGTCTGGGTGCCGTCGTGAAGCAGCGTCGGATTTCCGAACGGGGGCCGTTGGAGATATGAGCGTGCCAAAACCCATCAAAAGACGAATGGACATCGCAGATGTTGGCCTCTTGGGCCCCTCTTGGGGTGCTCATGGAGCGCTTTTGGGGGTACCGTTTTGGGACCTTCTATGAAGGATTGTGGCCTCGAGAGCGCGAAGATTGCATACTTTACGAGGGCTTATGGATTCGGGAACGCGAAAAACGCGTAATGCATAAGGGATGGTGGCTTCGTGGGCGCGAATGTTGTATAATTTAAGCGAGAATCGAAGAGAGTAACTTGCCTCGGAGGCGCGGGTGCTATGTGCTTTCGAACAAAGTATGGGCTCGGGAGCGCGAGCACAATGCAACTTGCAAGGAGTAGGGCCTCGAGGACGCGAGCATTGTATCATTTACGATGGACTGTGGCCTCGGGGGCGCGAGCATAGCGTGCGTGGCGAGGGTTCATGGCTTCGGGGGCCCGCGTCGTCAACAGGGCCGTTTTCTGCTCAATTTATACTGCAGGAAGCAGAGCGTAGGACTGCAATACAAGGGGAAGTGGAAGCTGCAACTGGAGCAGGGGGCAGCAAGCCCACTATAGACCCCGGAGCCGTGTGCCCCCACGGGGCGGCCCGGCGGATCCAGCTCCGCACGGGGCGCACAGCGCCCCCCCCCCCATCGTCCACGCTTGGCGGGAGCTCTCCTCTGCGGCTTCGCTCCCCCGTCTCCGGGTTGGCTCCGCCGGCGGGGATGCGAGCAAGCGCGGCGCGTCGCTGTGCGAGCCGCCCGGGGCCTCGCCCTCGGGGGGCCGCGCCGCCTCGCCGCGCTCCTGCCGGGCGAGCGCCCCCCCCCCCCCCCCTGCCTGCGCAGCGGTCCCCTCCCCGTGCACGGCGCCGCGTCCGCCTCCCCGGAGGGCCTGCCTCCGGGGCTTCTGTTTCGGCATCGTCCCGAGGTGGGCTCGGGCCGCTGTGGGCCCGTTTCGGGGCCCCTCGGGGGGGGGGGGGGCTGGCCCGCGTGGGGGCCGTCCAGCGTCGTCTGGGGGGGGCCGTCTTGTGCAGTCTGCCGGAGGTGTTCTGGGGTCAGGTATATGGGGCGGCGAGGTGAAACTTGAAGGGCGTTCCGTTGTTGTGTTCGGAACTTTTTGCCTCGGCCTCTCGGGGACTTCGTGGGGGGATGCTTGGGGGCTGCCGGGGGTTCAGTTGGGCGTGTTGGGGGCCGTCCTGCTGGTGTCGGATGTGTCTAGAGTGATGAGCTTGCTGTCCACCGCCACCACCATAAGTTGGAGGGGGAAGGAGGTGGAGGATGATGAGGAGGAGGAGGAGGAAGAAGAAGAGGAGGAGGAGGAGGACCCCCTCCCCCTCCATTTTCTGGTGGTGGTGGTGGTGCAGGAAAACAGGCCCATCACAGAGGGCGCTGGGAGCCGCCGTGGGCAGCTCTTGGACCGCCGTGGGGTCGTCTTGGGATGGTCATGGGACATTTTCGGGCCGTGCGTGTGTGTGTGTGTGTTTGTGTGTGTGTGTGTGTGTGCGTGTGCGTGTGCGTGTGTGTGTGTGTGTGTGTGTGTGTGTGCGTGTGTGTGTGTGTCTCTGTGTGTCTCTGTGTGTGTGTGTGTGTGTCTAGGCCCATGTCTATGCCTATGTCTATGCCTATGTATATGTCTATGCCTATGTATATGTCCATGGTTATGTCTGTGCTGATGTCGATGTGTATGCCCACGTCTGTGTCAGTGTCCGTGTCTGTGCTGTGCTGTGCTGTGTTGTGCTGTGCTGTGTTGTGCTGTGCTGTGCTGTGCTGTGTTGTGTCTGCTGTGCTGTGCTATTCTGTGCTGTGCTGTGCGGTGCTGTGCTGTTGTGTGTTGTGTTGTGCTGTGCTGTGCGGTGCTGTGCTGTGCTGTACTTCGCTGTGCTTTGCTATGCTGTGCTGTGTTGTGTTGTGTTGTGCTGTGTTGTGTTGATGTGTGTTGTGTTGTGTTGTGCTGTGCTGTGCTGTGCTGTGTTGTGTTGTGTTGTATTGTGAGTGCGTGGGCTCGTGTCCTGGGAGGCAACGCTGCGATGCTGAGGCGCGGTGTGGGCGTGAATTTGCATGGGTGGTGCGGTGCCTTTCGGGTGGGGGCCATCCCAGGGGCTTCCAGAGGCCTCTCGAGGGGCTCCTGGGCCCTCTGGTGGGCAGATTGGGGCCCTCTTTTCAAGCCGGCGGATGCTCTCGTCGGCCCCGATCCTCGGGTCCGCTTTGACCCCAGGATGGGTCACCTTGAGGCTGCCTAATCACGTGGCCATCTTGAGGCTTCCGAGGTTTGTTGAGGACAGTGCAGACAGTCGAGGAATTACGCTACCACTGGTGCACCGAGCGCTTCATTGAATTTGGCCACTCGCGGGCCCCTCCTTGGGAAACTCCAGGGCACTTGTCATTCACTCAGCAGTCCAGAGGCCATTCGCCAGGCTTCCTCGGTCCATCTTCGAGCCATCTTGAGGCATGTCGGAGGCCCGCGCGCGCTCCAAATCGTGGTCCCATGCTTCGTGAACCAGTGCTGCGACTCATCTCGGGCGAGATCCCCAACGACATCTAGGGATCGCTCGAGAATCCTGGTCGGCGCCACGTCAATATCACCGAGTTCATATCACACCAGAGAGAAACCCCAATCAGTGGATGATTTTCGCTGAGGAGATCGACCGGGAACACGGGAGCCCAGGATCCCAGAACCCACCGAAATCGGCCCGGAACCAATAACCGGGAACCCGGGAATCCGGAACCGGGAACCCGGGAACCCAGCTTGCTACCAAAATCGGCGGGAACCTTTCGCCAAATCTTCCAATTTCCGCTAGGACCCCTTCAGTGCAAGCACTGATTGGGGAATCAAAGCACCAGAAGGGCAGCATTCCGCATCCGGGTGCTCATCTGCGCGCGGCGCCGATGTGCCACTATAAGGGCCGCCAAGTTGCCGTGGAGTGCCGAGCCGAGTGAGCCGCCGTCGTCCCCTTCTTGCCCGTCCAGCGCATCATAGCATCATGGGGGCGGTGTGTGCCGCCTGATGGGCCAGGCGTGTCAAGCAGCCGCTCCTGGCAGGGCCGCGGTTTCTGCGTGGCGCCAGACTTGCGGTGCCTTGATTTTTCAATGCGGGGTCCCAGGAATGCCCGACCTTTTCCCCAGGGTTGGTGTTTCATCCCGAGTTGCCATTTGACGGTCCCTGCCCGACGATGGCTCACAGGGGCCGAAACCAGTTAAAAACCTCCCGTCGTACGACGCGAGCATGTTTGGGTTGGGAGGTCCACGGAGCGAGGCTGCCCGACCCCCCCCCGCCCCACAGGCGGTGCGGATCTTCGACGGCTTCCGGCGGCTTAATGGCAGGCCTCCCAAGCTCATCGAGCTTGAGGTGCAGGAGCCGGCGGGCACTGAGACTCCTCTTGCTCCGTGTCCTCCTCCTCCTCCTCCTCCTCCTCATCATCATCATCATCATCATCAGCATCAGCATCAGCAACAGCATCAGCATCATGATCATCATGATCATCATCATCATCATCATCATCATCATCATCATCATCAGATTGCGCATCTGCCTCTGCGTCTGCCTCATCAACATCATCGTCAGCATCATCATCATCATCATCATCTTCATCATTATCAACATCATCATTATCATCATCATCAGTAGCATCACCATCACCACCATCATCATCATCGTCATCATCGTCGTCACCGTCACCATCACCATCAGCATCACCATCACCATCATCATCACCATCACCATCATCATCGCCATCATCATCATCGTCATCATCATCGTCATTAGCATCATAATCATCAGTATTAACATCATTACCATCATTATCATCTTCAGCATCATCATCATCATCAGCATCATCAGCATCATTATCATCATCACCATCATCGTCATCCTCATCATCATCAGATTGCGCATCTGCCTCGGCGTCTGCCTCATCAACATCATCGTCAGCATCATCATCATCATCATCATCATCTTCATCATTATCAACATCATCATTATCATCATCATCAGTAGCATCACCATCACCACCATCATCATCATCGTCATCATCGTCGTCACCGTCACCATCACCATTCACATCACCATCACCATCATCATCACCATCACCATCATCATCGCCATCATCATCATCATCATCATCATCATCGTCGTCATCATCATCATCATTGGCATCATAATCATCAGTATTATCACCATTACCATCATTATCATCATCAGCATCATCATCATCAGCATCATCAGCATCATTATCATCATCACCATCATCGTCATCATCATCATCATGATGATGATCATCATCATCATCATCATCACCACCATCATCATCATCATCATCATCATCATCATCATCATCATCATCATCATCATCATCATCATCGTCATCATTCACCGCATCCTTCTCGTCATCTGGAGGCACCTCGAGGTGCTCTTCCTCCACTCCTTCTCGTCCTGTGGAGGCACCCCCTGCTTCTCGTCCTCTGGAGGCACCACGTTCTCCACCCCCTCCTGCTCGTCCTCAGGGCTCAAGGGCTACAGGGCTCAAGGCGCCCGAGGGGCCCAAGGGCCCGCCCCGCCCGACCCGCCCGGCAGGCCAGTGATGCGCCCTGCGCGGCGCCGCGCGCCCCACGGCCGCGGCCATCCATGCCGCCGGAGCGCTGGCCGCGCTGGCGGCGGCCGATCCCACCACATCCAGGCCCCCTAGATCGGGTCGGAGCAGATGGTGTCGGAGGCTCGCGCCGCATCGCCGATGCATCCCCGATGCGGCTCGATGTGCAGCCCGATGTGCTTCAGGTCGACGTCGCCGATGCATCGCCGACGTCGACGATGCATCCTCGGCGCATCGCGGATGCATCGCTGATGCGTGGCCGATGCATCGCCGATGTATCGGCGATGCGGCGCGAGCCTCTGACCCCATCTACTCCGACCCCATCTAGGAGGCCTCTGCCTGAAGTTTCCCCTCCCTGCTCCTGTCTCTCTTCCCGCGGCGGGCCAGCCCCCCTGCGTTCCCGTCCTCCCTCCTGCTTCCCCTTCCTCTTTGCTGCCCTGCTTGCGTCTGCGAGTGCCGCTGCTCCGTCGGGGCCGCCCGCTCGTCCTCCCTCGCGCCCGCGCCGTCTTGTCCGCCACGGCCCCTTGCTCGCGCCGTCCTTCCCGCCCCCAGGACTGACGACGCCACGTACATCCCGAGCACCACGACGGTGGTTACGATCCCAGCCGCGACCACAACCCGGGCGACGACGACCACTTCCAAAACCCCGCCCGCTACCAGGGCCTCTACCACGACCACGTCCAGCGACATAACCAACACTGACAGCACCACCAGTTCCTCTTCCATGACACCTCCGACGTCAACCGACACGACCCTCACGGCGACCACGACCACGACCACGAGGGCCACGTCCGCTCCCGCGACAATCACTACGACCACGAGTGGGGCCAACATCGCCAGCAGTTCCGACGGCGGCTGCGACAGCACCTCTGCCGCCAGCGCGAGGGACGGCGCCGGCACGAACCCAGCCAGCAGCCTCGACAGCACCGTCGACGCATGCGTCGCCAGCTCCGACGGCGATTCCGACGCCAGCCCCGCCGTCTTCGACAGTTGTTCTGGAACCACCGTGAGGCTTCCGACGCCGCTTCCGACGGCGATTTCAGCATCAGCTCAGACAGCGACGCCGTATGCGGCTTCGTTACCGGTTCCGACGGGTTGTCCAGCGTCAGTCCAGACAATGACGCCATGGACGGCTCCGATACGATTATCCCGACCACGACGTCCGTGACCACGACCACGACCACGACCACGACCACTACTGCGGCGAGCACGACAAGGGTCGTTACGACCACGACCACGACGTTCGTGACCACGACCACGGCGACCACGACCCACCCGACGCCACCGCCGACGCCCAACCCGAAGCCCTACCCGACGCCGTCCCCGACGCCCTTCCGACACCCTCTCCGACGCCCATCCCGATGCTCTTCCCGACGAGTACGACCCAGCAGTATTCCACCTCCCACCAACTCCAGCTCCCACTATCGACCTCCACATCCAGCATCTTGACCTCAAGCCCACAGCAACATCAGGCCTTCACAACTTACCTCCGTTTATCGCCCTCCGGCCCACACCACCTCCAGACCCATTTATCGACCTCCACCTCCAACTCTCCGACCTCCAGCGTCCAGCAGAGTACGGCAGCGATTGCGACCGCGAGTACGACCAGCACCACGACCACGACTACGAGTGTCAGCAGTCCGATGACGACGGCGAGCACGAGCGTGATCAGCACGACCCTGACCAGCTTTACGATGAGCACCACCAGCACAGGCAGCACGACCACGACCATGCCGACGAGCTCAACCAAGAGTGCGGCTCCTTCCACCGCCCCTCCAGCTACCGCGACTACTTCTCCCCTCCTCACTTGCAGCCTTCCACTCGCCACATTCCCTCCCTGTGTCGACTCTTCGTCCACCATGGCAGCCTTGCATCTCTCGCGCCTCTCCCGCCCCTGTCGGTACCGCCACGAAGACTTTGACCTCAGCCGCGTCGCTGTCCACGACTTCACCTACCATCACTTCGACTACCGCGCCTACGACAGCTGCAACGGCTACCACAGCCACCACGACGACTCGCAACCCCACCACCATCACCACCTGGGCCACCACGACTTCGACGACCTCCTATCGGGCGCTGCACCGCAGCCTCCACGCGGCCATAGCACTAGCTCAGCCGAGCTTTACTCCCGCCAGCATTTCCGCCCTTGCGCTGCATGAGCGTCTGGGGCGCTATGCACCTCAGCATGCTTTTGTGGCGTTCCGCCCTCCTGTTTATAATGGCCAGCGCGCTGCCCCCCGCTCGGGGCTTCGCGAGCCCTCAGTGGGGTGCACAGTATCCTCCGCGTCCCCGCTCTCCTCTCGGCTGTCCTTGGCGTGACTCCTTTTGCCATGTTCTTGGTCGTGCCGGGACAGCTTCTGAGCTCCACGCTCAGAGCTGTGCTTCCCGCCCACGTGCACCCAGAGGCGCTCCTCGCCTTCGCCTGTCTGTCCCCAGCTCCTCGTGAGCTCGTCGTCTACGGGGCCATGGTGCACGGCGGACCAGCACAGCGGGCCCTGGCTTTGATCTGCGCGACGGCTTCTATTCACAACTTCCACGTCGTGCGCCTTTTTTGCGAAGCTTTGTCAGGGGCCTCCACGGCGGCCCTCAGCCCAGGGTTGTTCTGCCCAGCGAGCCCCGCCGTTTGGGCTGGCCAGGTTGTCCTTTTCGCCCAGACTGTCGCTGCGCCTGCCTTCCCGGCCTCAGATGACCTGCGCCACGTGCCTCTAGGAGATGGACCGCTGCACGCGCCGGCGGAGTTCCCGCAGCCCTCGGCGCTCGAGCGCAGCGACGGCTGCCGCTGCCTCTGCGGGGCCGGCGAGACAGGAGGTCCACGCGAGGAACGTGTTTGTCCAAGCGGAGCTGGCGACTCGCTCCCCTGGGCCGCAAATTTGGCGCCACCAGGCTGATGGGGGCGCGCCGTTGGTCATTACGGGAACCACCGGTTTGAGTCTCGACCCTGCTGCCCGAGACATACAAGTGCTCGCGGGGATTCCTTTGGACGAACAGCGTCGGGCTGAGGCTACCAACCGCCCCCAGGCCAGCGTTCCTTGGGAGGGCGCCCCGCCGTTCGAGGCTCCACAGGCTGCTCCGCCTGCTGGTCAACAGCTCTTTGCCCCCCAGCGTCCAGCACCCCGCCCAGCCCCACGCCCAGCCGCCCGCCCAGGCCCAGCCCCCCACACGCACAGGCCCCACGCCCAGCCCCACGCCCCGCCCCCTGCCCCGACTCACCAGCCCCACGCCCCGCGCCGCGCCCAGCCCCGCGCCCAGCCTCACGCCCAGCCCCACGCCCAGTCCCGCGTCGAGCCCCGCGCCCCAGCCCCGCGCCCAGCCCCACGTCCCACCCTCCGCCCCGCCCCGCGCCCAGCCTGAGCCTCCCCTTCCCTCAGGGAAGCTTTCGCGCCACGAGCTCCGCCACCAATCGCTACGTCCCAAAGGGCGTCCCGGACCTCCTGGGCGCTGTGCTATGCTGTGCTTGGTGCAGGCCGTGCGCAGCAACGCCAAGGCAGCGTGGACAGAGTTTGGGATGCTCCCGAAGTGCGTCCTGCGCCCTTGCACCTGCGGCTGCTGGGGCAGCGGTGCGGCTGGCGAAGCTCAGGCCGAGGCGCTTTGCCGGCGCTCTTTGGACGGGGAGCGGCGCGGGCCTCCCTATGGGCCGAGGCCGTCGAGGCTTGCTCCGCCAGGCCCGGCTCGCGAGTCTCCCAGCGAGTGGAGAGGTGTGTGCAGCTAGCTCTCCGCGGCCGCCCAGTACTCCAAGAGCTGCTCGGCTCTGACCAGCGAGCCGCCTGTGGAGGTAGCCCCCGACGTCGTCGAGCACGCGCGCCGGAAGCACCCGCGAAGCCCCCAAGCTTTGGACACCGCCAGCCTTCTGGCCTTCCAAGCTGCTGCTGCCCTCCAGGAGGACGGTGGCGCGGTCTGGCGGGAAGAGCGGGCCTGCCCCTTGGGCTCAGCCGCCGGGCCAACCGGCCTCCGACCCCAGCACCTGGAAGACGCCTTGCTCAAAGGGGCGCACAGGGACGAGGTCTCCGACCAGCTTCGGAACCTCGTTAACCTCTGCGCCTGGGGACAGGCCCTGCTGGCTGTGTCCGGGTACTTCGCCTGCGTCTCCCTGGTGGCCCTGCCGAAGAAGGTCGGAGGCCTGCGCCTGGTCGCCGTCGGGGAGGTGCTCGGGCGCCTCGTCGGCAAGTGCCTCTGCCACGAGGTAGCCGACGCCGCTCGCGACCATTGGCCCCGCTCCAGATCGGCGTCTCGGTCCCCAGCGTTGCCGAGGCGGCGGTTTACGTGGCGCGCCAATGGTGGACCCGCCACCTCTGGGACCTGGGAGCGGTGTTTGTGAAATTGGACTTGTCCAGCGCTTTCAACACCCTGGACAGGCAGACTCTGCTCCGCGCGGTCCACGAAAAGCGTTCAAGTCTGGCACCCTGGGCCGACTGGCGATACTCCCGCCCGTCAACCTTGTTTATTGGGCAGACTATCCGGTCCGACAGCAGGGTGCAGCAGGGCGACCCTCTGGGGCCTTTGTTTTCCATGGCTCTACAGCGCGCCGCCGATGCCGCCGTCTGCGCGCCGCGCCACGGCGCCGACGGCGCCGTGGATCTGACTTCTTTCTACTTGGGCGATGGTTGCCTTGTGGGCGACCCGCTGGCCCTCGCTCTCCTCCTCTGGTTGCCATGCTCGTGACCAGCCTCGCCGCGGTGGGCCCCAAGCTGAGCACTGGCCCGGGCAAGTGTAAGGTGAACCGCGCTGGCGGAGACGCTGCCGACGTGTCTCTGGACGGATTCCCGCCGGGCGTCCGCCTCCGTACCGATCGCAGTTTCCAGCAGCTCGGCGCGCCAGTGGGGGCCGCGGACTTCTGCGCGGAACGCTTTGCGCAGCGGGTCACGAGCGCCGCCGCGCTGCTGGAGTTTTTGGGAGCTCAAGAACACGCGCGCGTGCTGCCGTCCACCGTGCATGCTGCCTCCTTGATGGCCATGGGCGACGCGGTCCAGGCCTGCCCTGGGCACTTGAACGGCTGCTCGCCCTCCGGCGCCTCCTGGCAGCAGGCTCAGCTCAAGCTCGGGGAGGAGGACTCGGCCTGCGCCCTGCCGCAAAGCACGCCGCCGCCGCCGCTTACATCGTTTCCCGAGGGAGGGCTCGGACGGCGGCTCTCGCCCACTCCACCGCCTCCGCCTCCGCTGCGTGGTCGGCGTCGCCACCGTAGGTAGCCTCGTCGCGGGTGGTTCTTCTCTCCCTGCCGCGGGCCCGGCCTGTATGCTTACGGTTGCTTCCCCTCTCCTCTTTTTCTTTGCCTCCTCCTCCTCCTCCTCCTTGCCTGCCTTCCTGCCACCCTTCCGCTTGCCCGCCCGCCCCGCCGGCCTCGGCCTCCCGCCTGCGCGTTCGTCGTCGTGTGCATGCCCCCCTCCTCTCCCCCCTCCGCTGGGCAGCACGGCTTGCCCAGGACCAGTGCGGCGGCGCGTGGGGCACCGGAGTGAACAGAAAGGTGTTGAGTCTCTTGGAGCACCCTGGCAAACCGCCCCGTGGAACAAAGGAACGCCCTGCCCAGCGCATCGAGCTGGAGGCGCAGGAATTAGCAAGCACCGAGATTTCTCCTGCTCCTCCTCCATCCCCTCCTTCTCGTCTTCAGGAGACACGTCGAGCTGCCCCCTGGAGCAAAGGAGCACCCTGGACTGCCCAAACCTTCCTTGTCCTCTCCTTCCTTTTTCCCCCCCATCCCTCTCCATCCTCCTTTTCCTCTTCCTCGTCCTCCTGCTCCTCCTCCTCCTTCTCCTCCTCCTCCTCCTCGTGTTCCTCCCCCTCCCCTCTCCTGGGTCTCTCCTGGGCCCTCCTTGGGCTTTCTGCGGCCTGCGGCCCCCTGGGGCTTGCCCCGTGTTCCCTCCGTCGCGGCCGCCTCGGCCGCCGCGGCCGTCGTCGTTGTCACCGGTTTCGCCGCCGCCGCCGCCGCCGCCGCCAGCGCTGTCGTCTCCCTCGGCCGCGGCAGTCGCGCGCGCCAGGACCCTGGACAGGCGCAAGTGGATCAGCCAGGATTCGTCGGAGCGTTGGGCATTGCCGCCGGCTGAGCGGCCGGGTGGGATGGGGTGGGGGGTTGGAGGTTCGAGAATCAGAGAATCTTCGATCTTCGAAGTGACGAAAGCGTCCAAACAAAATTTCCATCGTCGGTAGCCGCTGGTGGGGCTGCTTCGAAATATTTGGGCCAGAGAGCGCCCCGGACGGCGAGTTTGGTGTTCGAGCTCGAGCTTGGGCTCCGCGGGAGGAGGTGGAGGGAGGAAGGGAAGAGCGAGGACGAGGAAGGGAGGGGGCAGGATGTGGACGGGAGGGCCCGAGAGGGAGCGGGTACCCATACCGCTGCCCTTGCCTCGTTCTCGCGTGCTGGGTGTGCCGGCACATGGCGTGCCAGATGGGGCGGACTTCGGGCGGGCGCGGTCGCCCCTCGTCGCGGGCTGAACTGCCGATTCTCCGGGTCGCCCGCACGGGCGCGCGAAGACGTTCGCGCCGGGCGGCCTCGGCCGGAGGGCTGCCCTCCTCCAGGGGCGGCGGCGCGAGGGTGCGCGCGGGCGCCCAGGCGCGTCGCGCATGGCGGGGCGCGTCGGTGCGCGAAGTCGGGCGACCGGATTGTCGGGTCCACTCTGATATTGGGCATGATCCGGCGAGGTCCTGCGGAGCGGGCGCCCAGCCCCGGTGGCAATCCGTCCCAGCGGGTGCCTGGGGCTGCGGGGGGAGGGAGGGGGGGGCGAGGACAGGAAGGACTGAGGGGATGTGGGAGGGTGGGCGGGGGGAGCGGGGACCAGAGGGGATGTGGTGGACGCAGGGGGATGATGATGATGATGATGATGAGGAGGAGGAGGAGGAGGAGGAGGAGGGGGAGGAGGAGGAAGAGGAGGAGGAGGAGGAAGGACGAAGAGGAGGAGGCGGAGGCGGAGGAGGAGGAGGAGGAGGAGGAGGAGGAAGGAGGAGGAGGAGGAGGAGGAGGAGGAGGAGGAGGAGGAGGAGGAGGAGGAGGAGCAGAGAGGGAGGGATTGGACGGAGGGAGGGAGGAGGGGGGAGGAGGGGCAAGTGGCCTGGCGCCCTGAACAGAGCAGGAGGTGCAGATCTGTGGTGAGGTTGAGCCTCGAGAGGCCCGTGCCCCGCGGGGCCCGCAGGGAGCGGCCCGGGGCTCGACATTCATACGCACGCGGGCGAGTGCTGGCCGAGAGGTCGGGAGAGTCGCGCGTTGAGGGAAGTCCAGACATCGTCGCCATGAAGCACTCGCGTCCTAAGTTTTTGTCGACGTGTCCCAGGACTGCCAGAGAACAGCCCAGGACGAAGAACTGGTCTGGGGGGACGGCTCTGGGGTGTAGGATCTGTTTTCTTCAGGACCCGTTTGTTTCATGCCATTTTCGGAGGTTCTGGAGAGGGGGCTCGCCGATGGGCGGTTGGGGCGCGTAACTTGTCTACCTCTGCCTCCGCCGAAGCCTAGGTATTCGGACCACGCTATCGGCTGACAACGTGTGTCCTGGCCTACGTCGCGTTCGTGCTCAACATCTTCTACTACGGTGGCATGTACGCTCAGCCGCAGGTGATGACACAGGGAAACGGTCCGCACGCTTGCCTTCTGTTCCTCGGCAAGCGCGGATCGCCTTTTTTCCTTGCTCGGTCCCTCTTGGGTATTGCTAGCTTTGCCGCAGGATTCCATCAACGGGATGTGCTCATGGCAATCGGGGAGGATGAATATTACCAGCGACGCGCGCCGTCCCTGAAATTTTGCGTGTTGCTCTGCTGTTGTGTGGGAGTCTGGTATCGCTTCAATCGGATCGCGCTGACGGAGTCGTCCGATCGGCCTGGCATTGCTATTGTTTTGCTTTCCCTGGGAGGAGGAGGAGGAGGAGGAGGAGGAGGACCAGTGTAAACTCAATATCCATCAACGATGCTGCAGTAAACCTTTCCTCTAATCTCCTCCTCACACGTCCCTACAAAGATTCGCTTTCACTCGGGGGAGTGCTCTGTTGAAAGACAACTGTCTAAAAATATCTGAGTCGTGCCAGAACGCGCTTCCTATGACTTGAACGCCGCGAGTCAACGTTACGTTTGCGTCCTGGCGATCCTGGACCGTGCCAGCACATCACCGCGACTTAACGCAACTTTGCCGCACTTGCAGTCCTACATCGTGCCAAACACAATTTCTGGGACGTCAGCCATGAATAAACTGGACTTGCTGTAAACTCTTAAGACGAATGTGCTAGGCGCTAAGATGAGAGCCACATTTTGAAAAATGTACCACCCTCCATCCTTGACGCAGTTGCATGTTTTGTTAAGGCGAGTATGCGCGGCGCAAGGCGAGAATCACATTTGGAAAACCGCCTGCCCTCCATCCGTGAAGCTCTTGCTAACGTTTAAAGCGAATGTGCGCGACATTCAGGCGAGACCACATGTTTTCAACCACCCGCCCTCCACGCGCGAAACTTTTCAAGATGTTTCAGATGAATGTGTGCGGCGCGAATGCGCGAGCTACATTTTAAATACGAGCCGCCGTGCATTCGCAACACCCTACAACTCTGTAAGACGAATGTGTGCGGCGTCAGGGCGAAGACCACAGTTTGAACACGGCCTGCCCACCATCCCTGAAGCCCTGGCACATTCAAGGATCATAAGCGGTGATGACATCTCAGGCGAAACGCCGAGCCTGCCTTACCGACACGCCTCGGCGTGAAACAGGGAAGAGTTTTTTTTTGTAAGGTAAAGGGATGGAGGAGGAGGAGGAGAAGGACCAGGATATTGCAATGAACTCTCCATCCAAAGGACTTTTTTGTAAGGTAAAGGGATGGAGGAGGAGGAGGAGGAGGAGAGGAAGGACCAGTGTGAACCAACATTGATCACCGATATTGCAATGAACCCTCCATCCAAGCTACCGTTTTCATAGACCCCTACAAGGGTTCAGTGTCACTGGGGGAAGTGCTCCGTTGGAAGACCGTTTGAGAATCTCGAAATGTGCCAGAATGCCATGCCTATGACTTCAACGCCGCGAATCACCTCTACCGTTACGTCTTGACGATCCTGAATAGTGCCAGAACGCCGTTCCTGAGACTTCAACACCGCGAAGCAACGTCATTGCCCCGCCCTGACAATCTTACATCGTGCCACAAGCAATTTCTGGGACGACAGCCATGAGTTCCTTGAAACTTGAAGCTGTTGTGAACTCTCGAAACTAGTGTGCGCGGCGATAAGGCGGGGGAACCGCATTATGAAATGGAAGTACCCTCCATCTGCGAAGCTCCTTGCAATGTTGTGTGACGAATGTGCGCGGCGCTGAAGCGAGAACCACGTGTTGAACAAGAAATTCCATCCATCCGTGAAGCTCTCTCATTGTTTTTACTATAAATGTGCGCGGCGCTCAGGCGATAGCCACATTTTCAAATCGACCCGCCTCGCATCTGTGAAGCACTTGCAACTATTTAAGACGAGTGTGCGCGGCACTAAGGCGAGAACCACATCTTGAAAACTGCCCGTCCTCCATTCGTGAAGCTCTGGCAAATTTTTAGCTTGAGGATCATAAAAGGACAGGAAGTCTCAGGTGAAACGCCCGGCCTGCCCTGCCGACACGTCTCGAAATGCGACAGGGAGGAGTTTTTTTCAGAAGGACACAGGATGGAGGAAGAGGAGGGTAAGGAGGAGGGTAAGGAGAAGGAGGAGAAGGAGGAGGAGGAGGAGGGTAAGGAAGAGGGTAAGGAGGAGGAGGAGGAGGAGGAGGAAGAGGAGGAGGAGAAGGTAAGCTTCATTTCGTGCCACCCGCCGCATGCATCCTGACCACCGCGAGGCGCCCCCTCTGGAGGTGCCTGGGGGCCCCCGGGAGGCCCCCAAACAGGCCCCAGAAGGACAAGCTTAAGACAGCTGCGGCAACGTGCAGCAGCTTCACTCCTCCACGCGAGGGCGCAGCTCGGAGACGAGGAGGAGGATGAGCCGCTCTGGTTCCGGCACTCCCTCTCCGCCGCCGGGCCGCGGGAGCGGCCCATCGCCGCTCTGAGTCGCTCAGCGCTCCCCCCTCCCGGACGGCCTTTGCTCCGGCTCCATCCTCGCGCTCGCCTGGTCGGGAGCCACCCTTTGCGCGTCCCTGGCCAACGTCTGGTTTGGCGGCAGCGTCGGTCTAGACCGTGCACGCCCGAGTGCACGTCTGGTACAGTATGCCTTCGGGTCAGAGCGCATTCGAGGCTCGACGACTGAGGATCGCGGACCATGATCGAGGGTCACGGTTTTTGTGTGTTTCTGCTTCTGTGCCCTCGTCTCCAGAGGCCTCCGAGGACCACCTCCGCGGAGACCGCCTGAGACTTCTGGAGACCTGCACACTGCAGAGGGCTCTGGGCTGGCGCCTCGCCCGCCTCCGCAGGTCTCGCACCGGGCTGGGAGATCGTCCTCGGCGGCCCTTTCGACCTCATCGGCATCACCGTGGCCACGATGCTTGCCCAGGCGGCCAGAGCATCTGACTGCCAACTGTGACGAAGAGGGAGGAGGAGAAAAACCAGGAGGTGGAGGAGGAGGAGGAGAGGCAGGAAGCAGAGGAGGAGGATGAGAAGGAGGAGGAGGAGGGGGAGGAGGAGGGGGAGGAGGAGGAGGAGGAGGAGGAGGAGGAGGACTCAAGGGATCCCCTCGCCGCTCCCCCCCGCCGCCCCCCCCGCCCCCTGGCCGCGCCAGAGAGACCGCGCGATTGCCCTGTGGCCTTGCCTGCTTGGCTGCCAGCCGGGGCGGCCGCGCTGGCGAGTGGCCGCTGCGGCCTCTGCGCTTGTCTGGCTGGACGGGGTGGCGCCCCCCGTCCTGCAACCGCTCTGAGCGGGATACAAGGCGTGCCTTGGCCATGGAGCTGCGCGCGGCGTGAACTCGCAACGGGGCGACGCCCTGAAGCAGCGGGGCCAGCAATTGGCATTGCCGCCGCTGCAACGGCCTGCCGAACGACCTGGCCCGCGCCTGCTGCCGCGGGTGTGGCGCAGCACGCCCGGCAGGCGTGCGCCCGAGTGGCCCGGACGGTCGCTCCGCCGCCCCCGCCCGAGACGCGGCTGGAGGCGTGGGCCATCAGCCCCCAAATGCCGCCAGCGCTGGGGAGCTGGGTGCGACGGCCGTGCCGCCCCGCCACTGGCCGGCGCGGCCGCCGTCGCCAGAGGAGCGCGCGGCAGCGGCCGCCGGGAAGACGGCGGCCTTGGACGGTGCAGCGGACCTGCTACGCGGCGCAGGTTTCGACGCCGAGGCGGACACCCTCCGGAAGCCGGCCGCACGCCTGGCCAAGGGCGCGTACGGGCGCCAAGCCGGGAGCCCGGTTCGACGCCTGCGAGGCGTTCGTTTCCCGCGCGGAGCGCCGCCTGGCGGCGGCTCGCGCGGACGTGGAGGCCGCGGAGGCGGCGGTCGCGGCCGCCCGGGTCATTGCCGCGGAGCTGGACGAGGAGCCTCAGGAGGGCCAGCGGCGCCTGGAGGAGCTCAAGAAGGCCAGAGCGCCCGAGGACGGATTGCTGCCAAGCGTCCTTGCGGACGTGCGCACCGTGCTAGACGCGCTGGAGAGGCTGCCGGTGGCGGGCCACGTCGGCGCTGGCCCTGCGCTGCCAGCGGCGGCTCTGGAGGCCTGCACCGCGCTGCGGCGGCACTGCAGCGCACCCGCGGACGAACGCGACCAGGGGGCGCGCATCGCAGGGCCACTGGAGCCGACGCCCGACGACGACTCTGGAGCGGCGCGCCTGGGCGCCAGGAGCCTGGCGCTGGAGGACGAGGAGGAGATGGGCTTGAGCGAGGAGGAGGAGCTGATGGACGAGCTCGCCGAGGCCCAGGACGACGCTGGGGCCCCCGCAGTGGCCCGACGGCTGCAGCGGTCCAGGAAACTGCACCTTCTGCTGACCGGCGAGGACAAAGGAAGACGGCGGAAGCGAACGTGACCCCGACGAGGAAAACGAGGGCAAGATTGGGGACGAAGTCGGCCCCGTCGAGGCGGGCCGCGTGGATTTCGCAGCGCCGCTCGCCGGGGCGATTCTGCTGCCAGCGGACTCTGCCGTGTTTGAGGTGCCCGCTGCTGGCGCGTGCCCTGCTGGAGGCGCGGGGAGGCGCGAGCTGCTGGCGGCGAAAGCGCCGGGGGCCGCCGCTGCCCCGATGCAGCGGCCCGCGGGGCCGCGCGCGACCTTTGCCAGCACGCCCTGTGACCTGGCAGCGTGGCTGGGCGGGGTTCCGCGTGGGAGAGGCCCGGCACCCAGGCCCGCCCGGCGCGGGATCGCAGCTCGCCAGCCCGAGCTGCCGCGGCCTGCTGCGCGCGGCGCGGCCCGACTGCTCTGCCGAGGCTTGCGCCGCCTGCGGAGGTGGACCTGGCCGGGGCGGGTGGCTCTACAGGTGCGAGCCGCGCGGCGCCGCCGTGTGCCGGGACTGCGCTGTGACTGTGGACGCCGCCGCCGCCCTCGCCGCCAGCGCGAGGCCGGGGTCAGCCGCGGCGGAGCCGACGGCGTGCGCGCGCCCTCGGCGAACATCCCAGCGACCGCGCCGGCCTCAGATGCCGCGGCGGCCGCGGCGGCAGCTCCCGCGGCCCGGGCGGCCGCGCCCGCGGGCTCGGGGGCAGCAGCGGCCGCGCCGGCCGCGCTGGCGGCCATGCCTCCGGCCTGCCCGCGCCGCCCCTTCCCATGGGCTCGCCCGGGGCGGGCGCCGCGGCCTTGCCTCCACCGCTGCCGCCACAGCCGCTCCAAGACATGGATGCGGATTGTTGGGCGGCTCGGATGCCATTGACCTCGCGGGCGGCTTCGCGCAGGAATGCCCCGCTCTCCGGTTTGTCCCCGGAGGGGCCCGGACGGCGGCCGCGCGGGCCAGCGAAGCGGTCTGCCGGGCGGTGCTGCGCTCTGCGCCCGGCACGGTCGCGGAGACGAGGGCGTGGAAAGTCCTCCTGCTCAGGGGGCGACTGCTCTTCGCCGCGCCGATCCGCCGAAGCGCGGGGCGGCGGCGCCAGCCAGACCCCCCCGAGAGAGCGCGCCTGCTCCAGCAACGGTGCTCCCAGTTCCTTTGCGGCGCCTGGCAGGAGCTCCGGAGGGCCGCTCGAAGCCTGGCCCGGGCCCGGCGGGAAGCAGGAGGGGGCGGCGCGAACGACAAAGGCCGCCTTGCCGACCAGGTGGTGCGCCAAGCCCTTTCTGAAGAATGCTCGCGGGCAGCGGCGCTCCTGGCGAGCCCCGGCCCGGCGCCGCCCCCCCGCGGCGCGCCAGCGCTAGCTCGCGACCGACGCGCAGGATCACGGCGTCAGAGCGCAGGGCCCGTCTGTGGTCTCACATCCGCGGGCCCCAGGCGACGGAGAGCTTCTCCGCGCGAGTGTAGAAGGCTACCGCGACCCCTTGTGACGACCTGGACAAGGGGCTGCAGGATGCGGAGGACGACGCGGCCTTTCAGCTCCAAGGAGATGCCCCGGCAGGGCCGACTCCACCGAGCAGTAAAGTCATGGTCGAGGCCCCTCTGATACTTCCAGCGCCAGCCTGGTGCCATCTAGAACCTGTGAAGCGGCATTCGCACCGTGCGCGCATCCTCTTCGGCAGCGCTGCCGAATGGGGTCCCGCAGCTCAGGGTTTCCCCCGAGGAATGTGCCAACTATTCGAGGTGGTGGCGCTGGCGGAGACCCGCGCCAGTTCCACGCAGATGCCGAAGGTCCAGCTTGACTGCCTCGAAGACGGCTGGAAGACCGCGGCCGCGCCCGCAGAGGCTTCGGTCAAGTCCGAATTGGGTGCTCGTGGAGGCGAGTGGGTGCTGGCCAAAAGGCACCTGGCCGCGCCACGCTGGGAGCTCACGCTCCTGCGGGGGCGCGCAATTTCGGGGCTTCTGCCCGCTAACATTGCACCTGCGCAAGGGGAACGCGTTCATCATCATCGCCTACCTTTTCCCGGGCCACAAGTTGGGGGGCGACGGCGCTCCGAGGGTGAAGGCGCCCGCGGCCTTCCTGTCTACCCTCGCGGGCCCGTGGCTGGTCATGGCGGACTGGAACATCGGCCCAAAGGACCTGCAGCAGTCGGGCATCCTCGAGGCCTGGAGCGGCGAGATCATCGCCCCCAGCGACGTCGAGCACACCTGCACTAAAGGGGATAGCGCCTCCCAGATCGACTACCTTGTAGTCAAGAGAGGCTTCCACGAGCAGTTGAAGGTCCAGGGGTCACGGTGGTGCCTTGGCGCACTCACGTCGGTTTAGATATGCAGATTTCCGACGCCCACAACGATTGGCGGCACGAAGTGGTGACCTTGCCGCAGGCCATACCACGTCGAGACCGCCCCCGGCGCGAGGCCGACCCCAACAACAAGCGCCAGAAGCAGTTGAAGGAGAGGAGGGTCGCCCGTCGGCGGCGGCTACCCGACGAGTTGCACGAGAGCTCCGATGAACCCCAACCTCCTCCAGACCCTCCAGACGGGGGTGCAATGTCGGCCCCCTTCTACGTGCCAGCCGAGACGTGGGACCAGTGCTGGCTTGAGCCAGTCGACCCCCCCCCGGCGAGCTGGTCAAGGAGGGCGTCGCCTGGGCGGTGCCGCGCAACGAGGACGCCGTCGCGGCGCTCTCGGCTCGCCACGGCCATTGGGCGGCGACCGTGGAGCAAGCTATCTTGACCGCCGAGCAGGTTCCCAAGGGCGAGTGGAGCAAGTGCCAAGGGCGGGGCCAGCTGCGCGGGCTAAGGTGGACGCGGCTCAAGGCGTCGCCTGGCCGAACACGTGTGCGGTCGCCCACGATGGAGTGGTGGTGGTGGACGATTGAGTCTTTCATAGTGCGGTGCCGTTCTTTGGTGCGCAGCGGGTCCGACATGGATCAGCAGCAGCGGTGCGCGCTCGCTCTCAACGCCATGGTCTCGCAGGCGCATGAGCAGCCGCGCGCCGCCACCTTCGGAAGCAAGGCCACCGCTGAGGAAGTGGGCTACTGGATCAACCTGATCTTGCTGCCCAACGGCGAAGCTGATGTAGACAAACTGGATGAGATCGTGGAGGTCACCGGGAGGTGGGTCGGCCGAGCGCTTGCGCGCTCCATGGCGGCTGCTTCCCAGGCGCGCGTCAAGTGGGCAAATGACATGTGGGTCCACGAGCCGAGGTACCACCACTAGCACGTGAAGGATCCAGGGCCCTTGGAGGTCGAGGCCCCGTGCACTGCTGTGCCAGGAGCTATCTCTGACACTCAGGAGATCATGGCTCAGAAGGTGCAGCGGCGGGCCCCGATATCGACAGACGGCAACGCATCGCGCGACGCCATTTTGGACACGATGGAGCACCTCCACGCCCAGAGCCAGGTCGCTTCTCTTCCGCAACTCACTATGGATGACTTGGAACCGTTGTGGTGCAAGCTGCCGGGCTCCGAGGCCAAGGGCGTCGACGTGCTTGGCCCCGCAGATCTGCAGAGGCTGCCGCTGGTAGCCAAGCAAGAGGTCGTCGCCATCCTCAACGCTGCTCGGGAGGTTGGCCCGTGGCCGCCGCAGACGCTGCTGGCGCTCTGCGCCGCGCTGCCCAAGCCAGCGGGCGGCGAGCGCATCATTGGCGCCCTCCCGAAGCTCACGGGCTTGCGGTCGCGTGCGCGATCGGGGGCCACGGACCGCTGGGCCGACAGCAGGAACGACTTCTGGGACACCGCGGTGCGCAATTCGAAGGCGCTGCGCGCCGCCCTTCAGCGGGCAGTCATGGATTAGGCTGCCCACGAGTTGCGCTTTGCAGTGGCAGTGTTGTTGCTCGATCGTGAGAAGTTCTATGGTAACATCTCTCTTCTGAAGCTCGTGCATGTTGCGCTTTCCCAAGGTTGCCCTGCCGTCGTCGCCCTTTTAGAAAATCAGATGTGTTTGGCCCCGCGTGTGTTGAAATCTCGTGCCATGGCAAGCGATTTTGTTTTCCCGACTCGGTCCTTGGTCGCGGGGTCGTCCAAAGGAGTTTCGCTGGCCAGATTTTTCTTGGGGCCCAGCATGGACGGGGCCCACAGGGTGATCGCCTTGAATCAAGCCAAGGCCTCGTCAGCTATCTGGACTTTCGTTGACGACACTGTTGCTCGGTTCGAAGGTGGGAGGGCCGACGTTGTTGGCCAGGTGTCGGGGCTTCCTGGCTCGTTTGCGCGGTCGTTTGCGGCCCAGGAGCTCCCGATCTCACCCAAGACCAAGTGAGTAGTCAACACTCGTGGACTGGGACCCGAGCTTTTGAAGAAGTTTTCTAGTCTGGGGATGCCGGTCTCGCTTGTAAAAAATGCGGTGGGCTTGGGGTGCGCTGAGGCGGGGGCCCCCGTCGTTCGCGCTTCAAGCTCAACAGGCGTCTGAGCAAAGGCCGCTCCAGAGGTGCTCGGGTCAAGAAGCTTAGGAGGCACGCATCTCTCGCCAAGGCATCCCAAGGCATGTGGCTGCAAGGGGCGTTGCCTCAGTCGTTGCATGGGCACCGAGGCATGCCCCCCCCCCCCCCATCTTCTATTCTTCAGTTGAGAAGGCAAGCGGCCCAAGCGGTGGCTGGTACAAGGCCCAGGGCGATGCCTCACCACCACTCTTGCGACTGGCATCAGTCTGAGGACCCAGCTGGTCCGCTCCTGGCTTGACCTCTGGGGAAAGTGCCCCTCCCTCCACCCTCGCATCGTAAAAGCCTGGCCATTGGTGGCCGCGCGTCTCGGGCACGACCCCAAGGTTCGTTGGAGGAAAGTCCGAGGGCCTACGGGGGCCGTGATCGCCACCCGTTGAGACGGGGTTTGGTGGCCGATTTTTCCCACTGAATGGCGTGGGCCTATAGAGGCTGTCACGATTGAAACCTGGCAGTTGCCGGGTCGCAGGCGATTTCGACATAGCGGGGTTAGCTTGCGATTTTGCTGGGGATCTCAGAGCCCAGCTTTGGCGCCAGGCGGCAAAGCATGAACGCGGGGATGATCTTGTCTCAGGTGCTGACGCGTCGGCAATTCGGCCCCATATTCAGCGCCTTCTGAAACGGGGGGAATACGATATGATCGGCCAGTTGGTCGTGGCGTCTGCTGGAGGCCAGCGGCCTCATCGTAGGCAGCGCGAGCGGGGGTATTTAGTTCCATTGAAGTACCCTGGATGCGGGGCCCCAGAAGAGACCCTTTTCCATCGGATTCGGGACTGCCCGCGCAATAGGGATGGTCCTGCCTATGTTCGATCCGAGCAATTAGTGTCCCAGGCCCGCGGCGGCCATGAGGTCAACCCGAGTCCCTGGCTGTAAGGGCCCCCGCCTTGTTCTTTCGCGTGCCCGAACTTTCGGGGCGGGGGGGCGGGCGTGGAGCGGGGGGTGGGAGTTGCGCATGCCGACCTCGAGTGCAGAGAGGGCGGCTTGCTTCTCGTCTTCGGCGATGGCTCTGGCGGGCAGTTTAGTAGTGATCCTCGTCGCCGTCGAGCGGGCGCGGCCGCGATCTCGCTGGCGCCAGCCTCGGGGGGCTGGGCTCGGACTTGCGGCTTTGCCGCGACCCTGGTGGGTCGCCGTCAAACAGTGCCCAGGGTCGAGATCCGCGTGCATGAACTCGCGCTTCGCAGTTTCCCTGGCCCGTTGCGGTTCGTCGCGGGCAGCGCGGCCCTGCGTCGAGGGTGGATTTCCACAAGGCGTGAGTTCTGCAAGAGCCCCCGCTCGGACCTCTGGTTTCGTGTCCGCGCCGCTTTGGCTGAGTGGGGAGAGGCGTCCAAGTTGCGTGGTGCCCGTCGCGCGTCGAGCCAGAGGACCCCGCCCTCTCTCCTCGGGGGCGTCTGTATGCCGCGGGTAACGGTTTTGCCGGCGCTCTTGCTGGGGGGGCGGCCAGTTTTTCCTGGGCCCATGGCCTGCAGGGCCAGCGGCCCCCTGGCACGGATCTGCGGGGTTGCACGGCGGCCCTCGTTAGGCGTCGCGCTGCGAAGGCCACTGTGGACTCCATCAGTGCTGCCCCCTGGTCCGCCGAGAGGCCCCCCGAGGCCCGTCGTCTGGGTGGCCTCACCGAGGCCCTGCTTCGTAGCGAGCACTGTTTGGTCAGGGCCGAACGTAAGTGGCTGTGCTCGCTGTGTCACCATGTTGCACCCGTGCACAACATTGCTGAATTCGCAGCGTCTCCTTGCCCGCTGCTAGCCAGGACCTTTCGAGTCTGGCTGATCATAGGGGTGGTGCGGGCGGGCGGGACTGCCACATTCCGGGGAAGGTTTGCCACTCCTCGCACGTGCTGCATGTTTGGCTCAAGTTTGGCTTGCATTTTTGTTTGACGTGCGGTAAACGGCCGCGGAGGACCCACGTCATTTAGTTGCCGAGTGCAAGGCCCGCACCAAGAAAGGCACGGATAACCTTCAGCGAATTCAGAACAGGTTTTTTCCCCCCAGCCGCGCGGGGCCGTCTAAGACGACCCAGGCCCGTGAGATGGGCATTGTCATGCGTGAGGCCGTCCTCCGTAGGCAACCGCCTGGCTTTCTGAGTGAGGATCGTTGAGTTCGTTTCCGCCCCGGGGAGCCCAGCGAATTCCAGCCAATTCCTCCTCCTCGCCTGCGTTCGCAGCAGGCAGGGCGGGCGGGCCTCCCCAGCCGGCGCCGTGCCCCGCGTCGGGCGCGTCGGACTCGCCCCCGAAGCTCGCCGCCGCCCGGGTTCGCCGGGCGCCCATGCTCGATGCCGGGCCCCCTCTGGATGCCGTGGCGCCTGGGGAGGGTGGGAGGGAGCAGGGCTTCTTCGTGTTCGTCGTCGCTCGCCGCCGGGCTTGTTGCAGCGTGCCCCTGGTGGCTGACTCTGCGCGTGGCTCATATGTCAGCGAGCGAAGAACGGTATAAAATAAACTTTCCGCCGTCGGGGACACCTGCCCCTGGGCGGCTGGAAAGTTTATACCCCTACGGTGCCACCGTAAGGGTATACATTTTCCAGCCGCCCTGGGGCAGGTGTCCCCGACGGCGAAAAAGTTTATTGTATACCGTTCTTCGCCCGTTAAATATGAGGAGCCAACGTATCAACAGCAATGGGGGAGGGCGGGAGGGCGGAAAGGGCGCGGGGGGGCCAGCCCCCGCGCGGGAGGCGGCGCCCCGCAAGACGGTGCTGATGTTCTCGATCGCGGCGGCGGCCGGCTCCATCAGCTGCTTCGGCTACGCAGGATTCAGGAGGGACCAAAACACACAGACACAATGCATCGTCGATTCCTCTGAAAATATGGGGAAATATGGGAAGTGTGGGGGGGAGACAATCACCCAGAAACTATGGGCAAGATGGGGGATTCTGGTATTTGTGTGTATTTATTTGTGTGTCCCAGGGCCCCATCCAAGGACGGCCTGCGCCTGCGCCGTCGTCGGGGTCGGAGTCGGAGGAGTTTCGAGCGGGGGTTTTGCGCGCCGTTCTGCCATGCTGGGCCCCTGGCTTTTCGCCGCCGCGGCTGGATTCCACAGCGGAATTCCAGCCAGCTTTTGAGGAGGGGGGGAGCTCGAAACCATGATGCTGCTTTTGCCCCATCCCTTTCCCTCTGCCCCCCCCCCATCGTCGATTTCCCGCCCCGCCCTTTCCCTCGCGCCCGTCCCTCGCATTGTACCCTGCTCGTTCTCCCCCCTTCGTCCTCCCCCCATCCTCGCATCGTGGGGTTCAGTGGGGTGGAAGGAGAGTGAGGAAACTTGACGGAGTGAGGAGGAGGAGGAGGAGGAGGAGGAGGAGGAGGAGGAGGAGGAGGAGGAAGGGGAGGAGGTGTTGTACACGGCGTTGGCTTGACGGCGCGGACTATTGGCGTGTTGATGTTTTAGTTGTTCCTCATTCCACTGGCAGGGGTCGTTCGGTTTTATATGAACAGACCTCCTCACCCGCCCACAGTGCAGACCGTTTCCGCCAGATCCCCTGGTCCACCGAGAGTCCTCGAACGCCTCGCTCCTCGGGGGCCGTCGCGCCCACTCTGCATGCTGCGGCCGCCAGGTCCCCAGGTCCACGACGAGAGTCCCCGAGACCCTCCAGCCTCGACTTGCCCATTCTGCGTCCCGCGGCCACCAGCTCCCTAGGTCCACCCAGAATCCCCGAGACTCCCGCCCCTGTGAGGACGGCAGAACATGACTGACAGCACAGAACATAACATAATGCATGATGGACGAACAAGGCATCATCTATCTACGTAGCACGACAGAACAGCTGCATAGCATATCACATCATTACATAGCATGGCATATCATAAGAGTATAACGCATGCTATGGCAACGCGAAGCAGATATGCCATATCGTACACCCACACAGCTTAACCTAGCATTATATACCACACATGTTTATTGCATACTTGTTCATTGCATCGCACGTGGCAAAATACTATAACATACAGCGTCACACACCACGGCAGAACGCGGTATCACATGTACTAAGATAACACCAGATGCCGTAACACACCATATCGTAACTACCATAATGCAGCATTGCGTACCATAGCTTAGCATGACACTCAATTCGGCATACCACAGCATAGTGAATCATTGCATGGCACACCTGAGCACCTGAACATACTATGTCATGGGTGTTGCACGAAAGCTACCACGACGGCACAGAGCGCATTTGGTCATCATCGAGCGTTACATAGTGTCAAGAGCATAACATAGCATACGAGATTGAAGAGGGCACCAGGTTTCAAGCATACTCTGGCGTAATTGTTGTACTGCTGCTGCTGCTGCTGCCACTACGGCCGCACATATGATTGATCATCTCATAGAGTTTAGGATAATTGACGATGCCTGCCATAACCAGAACATGTCATATCACAGCACCGTGAACACAGTCTAGCGCAAACAGCACAACATAACATACCATAACCGACGCACGCAACGTCACATAAGAACTCAGTGTATGGCAGAGCTGGGCAGAACATGTACCGTACTATAACTGAGGGAATAACCATTGGAACGGAGCGTCATAACATAATCGACCAGACCTTACTATAATCAAACGTGCACCTGAACATCATCCAACAGGACGTGCGCGCCGAGGTCAGGCTGACGACAGGAACAACTAGGCGCAGCAACGGCCGATTGGACGACGTATCGAACGTGACAGGCGTCCTCAAGTCACGCCGGCCCGTTGAGAACACAGCAGTTCATATTACAGTCGACATACGTGACATACTAGAGCAGGATGACACGCAACTGGCTGCTTGCTGTCGTACATATAGCAACTGCCTATCGGTTGCGCCCTGTGAAACGCAGCATCCACACCGACGTATGGCTGACCACAGGACAAAAATCAGGGGCAGCAACGACCGATCAGAAGACGTGTCAAACGTGGAAGGCGTCTCGACGTCACGCCGCCCCGTCGACAGCAGAACAACACAAACCATATGTGCATAGAACAGGCAAGAACTGAACATAACGTCGCAGAGTACTACAGGAGAGACCGACTAATGCTGCCCCATCGTGAGCGGCATTTACGCGCGGAAATCACGCTGGCCGCATAAGCAAACAGTAGCAGCAAGGACCGCGTAGACGGCACATCACACATGACAGACGCCACGACGTCATGCCAGCCCGCCCAGAAAATAATCTTACACACCATAATGTCTTTTACTACGCTGGGGCGGAATCCAATCGAATTGCATTTCGCCCAACATAAGACAGCAGCGACCACGCGAGGCGTCTCATCAAGCGATACCATAACACAATCGACCGCACTTGAATGTAATCAAACGGGACGTGCGCGCCGAGGTCATGTTGGTGGCAGGGATAAGCACGCACAGCACCCACTGATTGGACGACGTAACTAGCGTGACAGGCGTCACCACGTCTCGCCGGCCCGTTGAAAGCACAACGGTGTAACATAACATAATGAAGCACACAATGTAAGAAGCTGGTGGACTATGACGTAGCTGAACAGTGCTAAGTACAGAAACAACATTATGAGGTGCGTCTGTCAAACGCAGCATCCGCGCCGACGTAAGACTGGCCACAGGACAGACAAACAGGCGCAGCAACGACCAATTAGACATCACGCCGCCCCGCCGACAGCAGAACATAACAAACCATATGTGCATGCCACAGAAAGGAACCGACCGTAACGTGATTCAGCGGCGACCGAATAATAGCGTCTCATCAATCGCGACATGCACGTCAAGCTCAGGCTGGCCACAATAACAACACGTACTTGGCTTGGGAACATTCGCCGAAGGTGTTGGTGGGGACTGCGCGAAGCAAAACAGGCGCCACGGGTGCTAATGATCATGCATTCACGGATGCGGGACAATAGAAGTTTGCGGTGGCGCCAAGAACAAGTAGTTTTGAAGAAGCGCGCGAGTGCTGCGACAGGCCAGCGACTTTCCATTACGATGGAGCGGCGAATTCCAGCATGATTGTGTTAATGCAGCGCGCGGTTCCGATCTGCAGGCGGTTTATGACGGGAGAGGTTTGCGAGGTTCCAGTGGCGTGCTTGCTAGTGCCGACCCCTGTATGGAGCGAAGCGCTTGGTCACTGCACTTTTCGGAGCCTTTGTTGTTGTTTGGCGTCTCTGGAGCTTCTTCGGGAGTCTTTGGGAGCATGTTGAAGCGTGCCCTTTTGGATCGTTCTGGGGCTCTGTTGTGCTGTCTTCGGACATCTTGAAAGCCTTCTGCCGTCATGTGGCTCTCTTGGGGGCCTCCTGCGGCCGTCTTGGCGGGGGGGCACGGGGGGAAGCGGGGCGGGGGACGCGGTCGGACGACACAGAGACGACACAGAGGCAGAGGCGGGGAACGGGGGGGCACGGTCGGTCGGAATAAGGCGAAGGGGGCGGTGGGCGGGAGGCGGGGGCCACGGTCTGGCAGCAGGGGGGGGGGGCACGGTCGGTCGGAATGAATCAGGGGAAGGGGGGCCCTTTGGGAGGAAGTGGCGGGCGGGCACGGCCGGTCGGAGTGAGGGGATGGGGGCGGGGGTGGGGGCGAGAACGCACGGTCGGGAAGGGCGGGGGGCACGGTCGGCTGGAATGAGGGAGGCAGGCCGCGGGGGCGCGGGGAGCACGGTCGGTCGGAAGAAAGGAAGGGGGCCATGGGGGGAGGGATGGTGTGCGGTCGGACGGATTACGGCGAGGGGGGCGGGGGGAGGGAGCGGGGGGCCACGGTCGGGCAAGTTTCGAGGGGGGGGGGGTGCGCGGTCGGGCAGGGGGGGGCACGGCCCGTCGCAGTAAAGGCAGGCGGGCCAGGAGGCTCGAGGGGGGGTGCGCGGTCGGGCAGGGGGGATTGCGCGGTCGGGCGGGGGGGGGGCCCACGGTCGGTCGGAATAAGGAAACGGGGGCCACGCGGGGAACGGGGTGGCACGGCCGGCCAGGGTAAACGGACAGGGGCGGGGGCAGGGGAGTGGGGGGCCACTGTCGGGCAGCGCGTGTGGTGCACGGTCGGTCGGAGGAAAGGGGGGGCCACGGGGGGAAGGAGGGGGCACAGAGGGTCGAACTATTTTGAGTGGGGCGGGGGGAGGGGAGCGAGGGGGGTACGGTCGGTCGGGCAGCCGGAAAATATGTGGTTCGTGCCATTAGTTGGCGTGGTGTTCTTCGTTGTATGTGTATGCTTTCTCACACGTGATGTACCATTATCTTGGTACCAGTTGGGTCTGCTTGTTTCCTGGTCGAATCTGTCAAGGGATTCTGAGCAAGTCGCGCCAGCGTGGGATGGGGACGAAACGCATTTCAGACGGGTGTGTGCTGCACGGTCTCGCCATCTTTTGCACCGTGCCCCCTCCGAGGCCGAGCAGTCTTGGATTCCGAACGTTTGCGTCGAATGTCCCCGCGTTGAAGTGCACTTTCCGCCATGCTTGTTCCACTGCCCCAGCGAAAGGGCAGACCTTGCCCTCGCTTCTGTGGTGGGTGATGACCGCCGTCAGCAAATATTTGGCGCATGTTTTGGTTGCGACCCGATGCGTGCGTGGCCAAACCACCTTCCTGAGTGGCCCACGAGCGTGGCGTCTTTGCGTGAGTGTGCGTGCACATGCGCTCAGCAGCACGGCGGCGTGTCGAGTGCTCAGCGCGAGACGCCAGCGAGGTAAACGCGAGCAGCCGTCCTACATGAGCAGTGGAGAAGCCATAATGGAGGATGACGATTAATAAATGACCGGGGGTCGTGTTCACGCGGCGGCGCCCGGGATGACGATTAGAAAAAAACGGCCGCGGGCTGGAAAACTATTCTTT